TAGACTTATTCATGGGTTAATCCTTAGGCATATATCCAGTGAATATCTGTTTACTGTGTTAATGCGAACTATTCATGTAATTTTCATCACCATAAGTTCATTGATTTTATTCTTTCAACCATGTCTGACTTTCAAGTAACCTAATTCTTAATTTCGCTTCATTCACCCAATAGTTTACAGTTTATAGGTGTCATTACCAAGGTTTGATTTGATAATTTCGAATAAATTGAGCATTGGGTTGATTGTTATAAATATATTATTTTTATTTATAGTTTACAGTTTAGTTTGAAATCAGTTGAATATTACTAATCATGTATTATTTTACGACTTTATAACGTTTCTACTTGTTAATTCTGAACTGATATACTGAAGGAAAATGATTATTAAAAAAAATTGTACTAATTATTCTTTAGGGATAGTTTCTTCTCTCATCAATCAGCTTCTTTGCCTCTAACTGAAATTATTCAAAAATGCACGTCACCACCTTAATTTGATATATCCAATGTTCTTTTTTCCTTTCTCTTGTATTTTAATCTTATTTCTTCGTAGTTAAACAAACCATGTCAACTATAATCCAAGAAAATGATGATCATTTCACAGATGAACCTTCAACGAAACGTACAAAATATTTATTTGAAACTTCGTCATCAAATAATGAAGAAGGATTTAATCAGAATGCATCTTTCAATTCATTGATCGAAGAAAACTTTATAAAATTACGTTCAACAAATATTTTACCAAGTGTGTCACCATATTTAGGTACAGATAATGCATCGATTAATAATATGAGTAGTTCTTCTGATTTAAATATACCACAATGCGGTAAGTAAATTGATGCCCAAATAAACTTACTATTATTATTTAAATATTAAAAATTCCTATCATGTCTCCTACCGATTGTCTCCAGCTATGTAACATGTTTCCTCCTGGTCATCGTTAGGGTTTCCTCATCACACCTAAAATTCTGTCAACAATTGAACTTAGAACTTTTAGGCATTGTTGCAAACATGCTAATCATGAGTCATTGAGTTGGGATCTACTTATTAAATCGATTCGCATCTAATACCACCTACACATTGTTATTGATTTCCAAAAAACACATTATTTAAATTAGTAATCATAACAATACATATACTTAACCCTGTTACCCCTCTTAAGATGAAAGCCTCCTACCAAAGTTCTTCGATTCATTCTGTCCTGGACTATTCTTTTCAATTTTTGCCAAGTGGTGTTCATAGTGTTGATGTCTCGTTTATTTTAATCATCATAACGACACATATAAGCAAATATTGTTTTCAGTTAAATCATTATGAGGCTTTGCTATTATATCATGATATTTATATGCATATGAAACACCGGTGTTCCTTCCATAGTTTTAGGATTTTACTGAATTTTTCATACCACATTTTATTCTCTAACCCTTCTCTTTCACATTTCTTTTTCCTTATCTACATATTTCTGCTGATTATTTGCATACTTATTACGTAATTTTTATAAGGTCCAATCATTGTTCTTCTAATATTTGTTTTCTTAATTTCCACATTGAAACAAGCCGTTATTATTCTTATCGTTATAGTAAACTAATTATTTTCAATCAGTTTTTACTTTCTGCATATTACTATTGCATATGAAATCCCTTTTCATTGTTGCCACTGATCCATAAATTTTATTGGTTGGTTTTGTGTTCCCCATGTATGTTCATAAATATTACTTGATATTACGTCAAAGTATTTGACTCAAAACAATATTGTTCGCTGAGATGTGTGTTATTATGATTAATTTCATTGAGGATTTCATGGAAATTAATTTAATGTGTACATGATATTTGTCACAAATCGACACAATAATTAGATTACAAATCGGTAATCCAAAGTTTACATGTTTGCAACAATAACTGAAAGTCTTGAATTCAGTCGTTGACAGAGTCGTGTCTACCGCTGAAAAAAACGGTAACGATAACCAGGACGGAATACTCATATGGTAAGACTTAGCCTACAGGGAACACTCGACCTTGATTTCATGCTAGTTGACACTCGCCAGCAAAGAGTATCTACTATATTGATGGAACTGATACTCGTCAGATACAAACTGACACCATCCAGCTTCTTAATCTGACGTGTTACCAGTGAGATATTCTATGTGCGAATGGCCTCCTATGGGAGTGAGATATTTACACTTATTCATCAATTAGCAACGAAATGTCTGCTGAACATTTGCCGGTACTCAGTAGCACTCCTAATGAAGTCCATTTGTGACGAGTAAAAGCCACTATGAGATCTATATATTAAGTTTTTACTTAAGACTGCAGTTAATCTTTATTGATCATAATGATTTTAACAATTTTGAAACAAGTGGAATTTGAGAATAGACGTGTAAAGTGTACATAATGTTCGTTGAAACAATAGAAAACTATTCAACAATCTTTATGTCAATAGATCATTTATTTATTTATATTAGAGCTTTCAGAGTAGACTCAGTTTACATTTAAGCGCTTTGTAAATCCCATAGTAACAAAATTTTAAGTTTGAATACAATTTGTACTATGGATGAGCGTCATCTTAAAAAACGAAACTTAAATTTAGATGTATGACGTGTATTCTGCTTATATATGACCCCGTACAAAGTGGAATTTAAAGTCTGTCTGGACTAAATGCTGGACATTTTGAGTTAAAAGGTTGAAGGTAGTCTACAGGAAACCTCAAATCTAAGTCTCATGACATTTGATAATGCTCAGTAAAGCACATATGTAATTTTGAAAAAAAATCGATAATCCCATAGGCATTTTAAGATACGTCGACTGGTGGCATAGTGAAACAAATTATTATGAAGTTTTTCAACTGTTGACTATCCTACAGCAGTATTCAAGTATTAAGATTTATGGGGTGTTGGATATTGGGGAATATCAAGGACTGATTGTTACACAGAGCGATGAGGACTCAAATTTTAAAAGTAGCATCAGTTTACTCAAGATTGGATGTTTGGATTATTAATTAGTCGAATCATTATGATATTTAGATTCGGAGGAATCTGATATAGAACTCAGTAAAGTGTCATTTTTCTGTCATCAGTTGTTAGTCTGAATGAAAATCAACATTGAAGAAACTTATTTAGTTTTCATTTTAATACCTAATTCAAAACTAAATAAGTATAATATTGTTATCAATGAGAAGGGAAATACTTTAATGTTCTCAAATCGGCTAATGGAAATTATCTTTCATTTGAATAACTCTTTAAAAAACATTTAATCTAATAATGATACAAAGTGTACTAATGGGTTCTTTTGATTTTTAGTAAGTACCACTAATATTCTCGAAGACCTTTCGAATTTAAATTCTTCAGTCCACACCAGTTTGTAGTGACTTTGACTCCAGAAAATGTGAACAAAATGACTATTAAGGTGCTCTTTTGTTTTACCTCTAATTGTGAATTTTCATCTCCATTTCCAAAGAAAAAATATGTCGAATTCTACATTTAAACCTGATTCGAGGTCACCGTTCAATCAAACGACATCAACACGCACACACACAAACACTTCATTATATCTAACAGCATTTCTGTTGATTCATTAATTATGTCTTAATGATTTTGAAGTTAAGGAGCACTATTCACACCTTTCAATCCTACTTTTATTTCACAATCAACTAGAAGAAAAATGAGTGAAAATAATGAGAAAATAGGAGAGATCTTATGAATAAAAAAATTCATACATTAATGCATTAGTTACTATGATTGTTAAATCTTAAATAGAAATGTAGAGTATGTAAATAAAATAATTGTTTAATCAAGAGAATTTATAACATTTCTCTCCTTCATGCTCTTTGTCATTTATTTTGAATATTAAATTGTTCCCTTTTTTCAGTCAACATTGGAATGACGTTATTATTAATTTTACAGTTTACATCACGAACTAACCTAAGTTTGACAATCACTAAAAACCAAGGAGCACTGAATAGCTCTTTCTGTCCAAGTATGAAACTCATCAAAAGAGTATATGTATGACTCTATATAGGATCATCAGGTCACTAAACCTTTAGGATCTAATCTTCAGACCACGGAGTGGGCATCCAGTTATCTACATTTTTAACTTGAACCAATTCGCGATATTTTCCAACCACCTAATACCATTGGTATCTGGCTCATCCTCGACATAGTTTAAAGTCCGATCCATAGTGGTGTTGGGGATGACAGTGATGTGGAGTCCCATATCAAGACGGAACAGCTTTTTAGTGTTTCCTAGTTTTCAGTGGTTATCTGACTTGGATCAGTTCGTGATGTTAACTATAATTGTTAGTGTTAAATACTTTATGATGCACATTTTTGGAAAACATCCACCAAATTAATAATTTTAAGCTATTGTATTCATCATGCTATATCTAAGTGTTGAATCCGATCTTGAGCTTGACAATGACGATGTATTTAGTTAATGTGTTGTAAACTACTATAAGTGGTTGTCCACTGCTCACTTGTTCTCATCAAAAAGTTTAGCTGATATCAGTTCGTAATGATACTTGACCTATAAAATTCGATTAAAATCAAGTACTAGATATATATGACATTGAAAATTATATAATGAGCAATCAGTTGTGAATATCTCAGTCTTGCAGGGGTTCAACTGAACTCTGAATAGTTTTGTGATATCATCTTGGGCCATGAAAGTGAGTACCGTAGGTTCGAATCTTATAGGAAACATAAGTTCCCTGGGAAGTACAGGGACACCTAGTTGATGAGAATAAGCTAGCACAAACCTAGGTTAAGCAGGGTTTCCTGTAGACTACTTCCAACAAACTTTCACTGAAACGTCTATGCCAAGTCTCTGAGAACAGTAACTACATTAAGATTTGATTGCTGAAATACGATCAGTATCAACGATTAGACAAACATTATATTTGTTATCACCTAACGACCAATATGGGAGCGTGTAGATCAGTCGATCCAAAAATTAGTCATAACTACATCGACTTGTTAATATGGATGTCAGTCCAAAGATTTATAAAAAAGGTACCTACATTTATAAGTTGCATTTCATATATACAACTTTAAAGTATATATATATATATATGCAGGTAGTTTAGTGGGAAGATATGCATCCAATAAATAACAAGTAAATATCTGTCTTCTCATAAATTATACTTTCTTTCTTTGAGTTCTTATTGTAACTGAATGGTCGACTGTGTTATATCCACGTCACTACTGTTGTATCCATATCGCTCACTGTTATATCTGGAGGTTCGTTGATGCTATGTTAGGATGGACTCTGATGAGTTCGCCATTTTGCTGCTTTTGCCTAACTATCGGGAACCACTGAAATTCCTATATCATACTTTGGAACAGGAACCACTACAATCCTCACGATCCAAAGTGAGAACATCAGGGACTGATGCAATGAAGACTAATTGATAAGCCAAAACCTCGTCTCTATTTAAGTCCTAAAATCACATCATCCTTAGACCAAAAAAAATCATTCATTTACCAATTTTTATACTCACTGTATATTAACATAGTTTAGGGGAACTACAGAATTAACTGTAAAAGCACACACACTGAATACAGGTCACCGCGTGCGAGCACTTAACCATTAGACCACTGAGCCGGCATCCAACGGTGTTGTGAGATATCAGCTCACTGAAGACAATGGTGTACGGTGGCGCAACTTCGTGGATTGGTTGAAGCTAGACATTAATACCGTTGGATGCCGGCTCAGTGGTCTAATGGTTAAGTGCTCGCGCGAAGCCAGTAGGTCCTGGGTTCGAATCCCGCGGGGTGCGGGATCGTGGATGCTTACTGCTGAGGAGTCCCATGCTAGGACGAAACGGCCATCCAATGCTTACAGGTTTTCAATGGTGGTCTAGCTTCAACTGACTCATGATTTCAATCTGTGAAAGTTTCTAAAATCTCCACAAACCCCTTCTGACAAAATTTTTTACCTGAATAATTTCGTCTTATTAAGTCATGTCAGTCCTCGTTAACTGCATACAAAATGGTTTGGTATTACATGCCTAAATGAGTTTAGCCTCAAGTTGTTTTGAACACACATTAGTATAGCATAGCAAGGATGTAAATAAATATAGGGGACTAAGTAAAATATTGCAAATAGCTTATGTGGGAAATACCTTACATCAGTGATGGTAACAAAGACCAGAGAGCTAGAAAAAAAGTGGTTGTGTAACGAACAAACGCTAATAATGAGTAAAAATCAAAGGAATGAAGCTCACTTAGTTAAAACGAAATAACTGATATAGAAGAAAGGGTAAGATATTTGGTCGATACTTCGAAATCTTTCAGGATGATTAATAGACAGACAGCCAAACTTCGGTTTTCTGAAATTAACTATAGCCATTGCTATCAGAAATCTAATTTATGTGTTTAAAGGAGACAGTTAATAATTATGAACTATTTCCTTTAAAAGAAAACTGTAATTACATAAATTTCTTCATAAACTCTTTGTTATAGATCATGGGAATGAATTCGCACTTTCAAAATCACATCCATCTAGTTGTCACTTATCCTCTACAAATATCGAATCAGTATCTTTACGTGGCAATCTTGATTCTTATTCTTCAATTGCTCTGAATAAACCTCCTACATCTCAACAACAACAACTACATCAGTACCCACATTATCAACATTCGGAACAGTTGGAAAATCTATGCACCGAAATGTCGAATCCAACTAGTGATAAATTATTGCATGTATTATCAACTTCATCTTCAACATCTTCGTTTACTCATAAAAATGATTTAAATTGTCCCGGTACTTCTAATGACGTTATTAAAACAAGCGAACTACCGGCGGCAAAAAGTACTTGTTCAAATATCCAACAATTTGTAAGTGTTCACTGTACTAACTTAGTATGAACATGAATTTATTTATCGTAATAATTTTAGATGGTATGATAAATAAAAGCCTTACCATTCATTAATCTATTGATGTGTATAACTGAATCTGATGAAAGATCTGATGACGAACAAGCACTTTAATGATAGAATATATGACTATAACCTTAAAGTGACTATACTATAATCATATAGGAAATATTTTTTACATATTGTATTGAATAGTTATGCAAACTACAGTTATGAAACTTCATTTTATAACAGTTATAATACATCAGTTTTACAATCCTCAAAATATTCCCTATTTGTGTCAATGCAGTTATTCCATACCAGGTTTAATTTTTTTAATGCCGCTTGCAATCCTTGGAAGTAATGCTTTTCAACTGCCTGGTTGTTTCAAAAGTGTTCATACAACTCTCCCAGAATCAGTTTATCAACTTTTCAACTAAAGTCAATTAATCACAAAAAGATGTTTATATAACCGGTTCCCCAGTAACGACTGAGAACGTAATAAGAGTTGCAAAAGAAAAATTAGGTTTCACTCTATTTCGAAGCCTTTTTCCAACTACTAAACGGTCAAAATTTACAATAAATAAGAGAATTAAAGACGAAAACCTCGCATACTTTAAATGTTAATGATGCAGAAATAAGCCAAGGAAATAATGGCTATCAATATGGGTAACAATAAGGTGGGATAAATTTTCTATTTATGACAATGAATAAGAATTAAGTGAAAATGGGATAAAGGTTTTATACTTTATAATGAGCTTAGAGGTAGATAAACTCAGGGGTATGAGATCATTCAGATATCTAAAGCTTGAGTACAAGCTTTCGCGATGCTTCGAGGATCCTTAAACATCTGGACTACCATTTAATTTATTGATTTTCCCATTTTCTTTTCACACTGAAATATTTATTATCTTCAAATGATGAAAATAGACCTCCAAGCTTCTAACAATCTGAATAGAATTTTGAGACATGTAACACTGACTGAATTTTATTAATTATTGACAGGAGCTAGGTTTTACAATCTGTAACATTTTACAAGTATAACCTCTACTTTTTCTTGTTAATCTCAAATTATGAATAGGTATTTTCATGTGTTGACTTCTATTAATTAAATTATGGTTGTAAACCAACAGACGTAAATTTTGGATTATTATAATCAAGACGATTCTTGATTACTTACTTTACTTAGTTACGCCTGTTACCCCTCGTTGAGGAGCATCGGCCGTCCTCCAGTACTCTCTATACAACCCTGTACTGGACAATCCTTTCCAGTTGTCTCCAGCTGCTATTCATCCTTTTTATGTCTGCTTCCAATTACCGACACTGTGTTCTTTGGCCTTCCTCTTTTGTGTTTCCATTTAGGATTCCAAATTAGCGCTTGTCTCGTGATGCAACGTCTTTTCATGATTTCCTCCCATCTGGAAGTTTGTCTGTCCTCTCTCACAGTAGACTGTTGCTGATGGTATCCGGCCGACGGATATTCAGTATCTTGAGTAGACGACTGTCTATAAATACTTGTACCTTCTTGATTACAACACACTAATGAAAGAACTCTGTTTAGTTCCACTGATCTTATCAGTAAATCTACATTGGTAACTCAGATGATTTAGTAAATAAATAAATGTCAGTAGTATCCAAAAACTGATGTGTGTTAGTATCATACTGCAAGACATTTTGACATATATACTGCTGTCTCACGTAATATATTTTATTTATGTAATTTTTGTTATAAAGATTTTTCCCCATATTTGATCGAATAACTAACAGAACTTATTTATCATTACCTTTCAGATATCTAATGGAAATTACATCACCACTACTAGTAATAATAACCCACTATTGTTAATGAATAATGAATCCTTAAATAATTCATCTGATCATCTATCTATAAGTGAAGAAAGTGATGTCAATACACCATCAATATTCTGTCAGTATCAGTCGCTAATAACAACAACAAATACTACTGCTACTACTACAACCAAAAAAACATTCACAGCAATATCAAATGTAACTACAAGAAGTGACAATGAAATTGAATTAATGAATTCAAATGGTTGCAATGTCGATTTGATGCCAAATTTTACAGAATCTAATGGTAAAGTTAATTAATAAATATTTGATTAGTAGGATGTATCCGTCACAGAATGAGCTCAGCTGCAATACCACTGAAAGCAATCGGGCACTGGACAGCTATCTCATATTAACATGGAATTTATTAAAGTTGAAATTGTACCATTCGGTGCCTGTCCAATGACTCTCATGATTAAGCATTTAGCACTTCACTTGAAAACCTTACTTTCGACTTCTGGCAGAGTCATTGGTTAACATTGTTGAAAATCCAGATCATAAGATGAAGTAGTTGTCCAGTGCTCGTTGTTTTTTTAAGAGTATCCTACCTGATACCAAACTATGACGAATAAAACCTACATTTTAAACAAATCTCCATAAAACCCTTTCAACTAAGATATTTCATTGATTGTAATTAATATATTTATAATAACCATTTCTTAATATGAATAAACTAACTTACAATTTATTTTTATGACAACTGTAATATAAGTAGATTGGAATGAAGAAATATGTGATAGACCAATTCAAAATAATCAATGCATTTTCTTTAGAGTTTAGATATTTCGTTCAGAATCAAACTCTAGAATTTAGTGGTGCTATAGTTTCCAATTATAATTTATTTGAAACTATCTATTCATTCACGTCTTCACTATGATTAGGTAACTGGGCATGGTGAGTTATATTTTTGTATCTTAACACATAAATATTGGTACAAAGAGGCATCGAATACATATGCGCCACACAAGTCACTTGATTTGTATGTGGGCTGTTATACTGCCCGGGCTCCCAAACCAAAGCAGGTGGTTTTCCTAGTGGGCCACACCCGGAGCCTTCGACTTAAAGGTCCCATGGTAACCGGTTCCCAGTAATTGTTTCATACGCCATCTGGTCCCTCAGGGTTCTGGAGCCCATATGCACCATTGGTTTACAATCAGGGTTTTCCAACTTCCTAAGGTGGATCCTCCATATACCAACCCGGCTAGAGCGCCGCACATTCGCTTTTCGTTCACTCAGTTTCGTAAACAACACTCCCGCCACGAGAAGGCAGTGAGAAGAACCCCCCTGGCAGTGACTTTATACGCGTGGCCATTTGAGAACATTTCGAAAGGGAGAGTTGACTCTCTCTCTTATTAGCCTATATTCAAATTGTAATTGTTAAAATATTATGTTCTTAAGATATTTGTATTATTAATATGGATACTGTTATTATTGTTACAATCTGCGACTGCAACCAATACTTTCCAATATATGAACTCATAACTAAAACCTTTTGAATAGCAAACAGATAGCTTTCTAAATACTGAATCAAGTAATAAATCAAAATATTAATAACAGTATATTCTGTACATTCTCTCCTATATGTTGTATGTTAAGAGAAAACGTATATGTAAAGTGACTGATAATAATTAAAACGATCTGGACTTAATTGTCAAGTTGATCTAAACTTTTCACCAAGGTAAATTCATAACTTTATTTTGGGACCTTATTCATAAACAATCTATAGGGTGAAATAACGTTCATGAATGTATCCATAATTCTAAATTGTCGTAAAGAAGTTGTTATTTTTCTAGAAAAAAAACACCACTTTTCTTCGATATCCGATAAGGATCATAAGCTTCAATTAAAATTATCTGAAAAATTACCTACTTTTTTTGGAAAAAAAAGAGATCAAAATGAAATTAACTAAATTAGAATGTTTCATTATAACTAGATGTTGCCATTGTTTAATGTTCCCACATATCATGTTCAATCGATCAATGAACATATTCACAGATTTATATTTCATTGGTTACGTCTTGTCAATTAATGTACATTTTCATATGATTAAGTCCATTTCTTCAATAGTTATTCTACTACTTCAATGGATACATCCAGTTGTTATTTTATTGTTACAATAAAAACAATCTTGCTTTGGTTAATTTTACAGATTTATTCAAATGTATCCATCTGTCTACTTATAATATTAATATAAGATGACCAGTACATTATTTAAATGTTCTTAAAAACCATCACGTTTAAACAGGGCATCTACATATAAATTTATACTAAAAACCCCATATTCAAACACACAAGTGACCTTTCATAGGTACTTTTATGGGTAAATAAATTACATTAGAGAATAAATAGATATCAGACTTATCTTTATTCATTCCATATTACTTTTGTAGAACCACCAAAAAATTTGTAAATTTCCGACTAGTAAAATTAAGATATTGGTCTGTTTTTTATGGTCAACATCATGGACTGATTTTTGTAAGAAATCTATTGAAAATTAGAAAGCACTGGACAGTTATTTCTTCCCAGTGTAGGTCTAATCAGCAACATGCATCCAGAACCTCCATATTTCACATCGAGATCTTGAACTCTAGATTATTGAGCTGGAATCTGATGCTTAACTTGAAGCTCACTTATCTTCCAGTGTCATTGATGTGTAACTACTACTTCACATTCGACACGACTGAACTCCACTAGTCACAAGTTCTTTGTAGAACTGTGGCAATCGCCTTTCGAAATTAGCCACTAACAAGTACATGATTATTAATATTGTCGATCATTTGTTCAGAATGTAGTTAATTATAGATATTAGGACATGGATCAGTGGTATAGAGGTTTGGCAATCACATGCGATACCCAGAGTTCTTCAGTTCCATCTCCAGTGTGTTGTGAACATATGCTGTTGAATAGTCATACACCAGGAAGAAATAACTTTCCAATGCTTCCTGATTCTTATTGATTGTTTAACTAGAATCAATACATGCTGTTGATCATGAAATTCCAAAATCTGCACAAATTCTCTACAGTAATATCGGTTTACATTTTTTGTAACACTACTCAATATTGAATTCTAGTATTCTAACATAATTTGACATAACTGAGATTATGGGTAGTCTGATTAATTATGACTACTCTATTTTTATGACTGAATCGCTTAATTATATATTTGGTCTTGTGTTTATTTAATCTTCATAACTATTATCTCATTATAATACCAGACATCAGGTAAACATGATAGATTTCAATTTCCGTGGCCTTAAATTATTTAATTCATCATTTGAACATGAGACTAAAAGATCATGCCATAGCCTCAAGTGTTTCACAACTGAACACAAGATGAGTATATAATACTGAGTAACAGAATAACATTGTTTATATTAGTTAAAATTTCCTGAATAAATTCAACGCATGGTATACTGTGACGGTTTGTTAATTTCTCTGTACAATACAAAATCTCCTCACAAGTAATCGTATAACCTTTAAAAAAATATATAAATTACCCTTTATGAACTATCTTCATATTAGAATATAGTTGACAGTATGAACTGAGTTTAGGCAGGAAATCAATGAACATCTGCTATGTCCTAATATGAAACTTTTCATTAGCGCACAACCTGAAACCCAATAGGGAGCAAACGAAATATCTTCAAATTTGATGACAATTTCATTATGTTTTGATTATAAGTTGGTATTCATTAATTTACATTTATATGATCAATCAGTTTGGGATATATTGTGTGACTATAATCCCTTTTAATACTAGTAATATCTACCTCTCACTTAACACAATTGAACTGAATCAGTTATAAATTTCATATTAGCTAATTATAAATAAGTTAATACATTTGTAATATCAGAAGGGTTTTGTGGATAATATAGTAATTTCAATAGTTAAGTTCATGAGTCAATTAGAGCTAGACCATCATGGAAAACCTGGAAGCCCTGGACAGCCGTTTCGTGTTGTTGTGGAACTCCTCAGCAGTGTACATCTACAACCTCGCCTCGAGAGATTCGAACCCAGGACCTACTATCTCACAACATACTCGGTTGAACTCTACTGGTCATCGCTTCTCACTAAAACTCAATAGGACGAAACGGCCGTTCAGTGCTTCCAAGTTTTCCATGATGGTCTAATTTCAATTGACTCATGATCTCAACCACTGCAAATATTTGCAATATCCCAATGAGTAGAAAAATTAAATTTCCTGACGTTTCGTGACTTAATGTAAGCCATTTCTTCAAAGAATAAATAAATAACCAAGTCAAAATTAATCCAAGTTTAAAAATAGTACAACCGAAACCACAAGAATTTTATACCCAATACTCAAGTTATTCGAACTTGTCAAGTCAAACCTTAGTACGGATACCTATATTATTAACTAATTGCTCATAATCATTATCTATACTGGCATATTACCGTTTATCATTTTAAATATTTTAGAAAATAATCACAATTCCCCTAAATCTATTAATAATACATTGAATTTATTAGAAATTTCCAATTCATCATACCCTATAACAACTAATCATATTAAAGATTCTTATTTTCCATCTATGCTTATTCATGATAATTTATTATCGGAAGAAAATCAATATTCTATCAATGAACAATCATGGATCATTTCTGAAAATATCAATAATCAAAATTATTTTAATACACAAGATCAAAATAATAATAATAATCAATTTTATTTACCATTCAATGATCATTATATACAATATCAACAGAATACATATAATCATTATGAAATGATTAATTCTACAAAGAATAATATATTACAACAAGAAAAAGAAGAACCAATAACATGTTCATTAAATTCAACATTATTATCAAATTTATATAATAATAATAATAATAATAATAATAATAATAATAATGACAATTATATTCAAACAAAAATAATGAACTCTATGAGATTAAATTCAATAAATGAAGCATTACATATTTCAAATCAACCACAACATCAACATTATGAACATTCCAATTTACAACATCAACAGTTGAATATAAATTATAAAGATTTAGATAAATCAGATGATAAATTTACAAGAATATTTATATGGGATTTAGATGAGACATTAATTATATTTCATACTCTTCTTACTGGTTATTATGCGCATAGATATGGCAAGGTAAATGGATAAAATAAAGATTATTTATTAAGATATATATTCAGAGAAGGATTTTGTCGATATTATAGTAAGTTAATATGCTCACTAGTGACGGTCTCCAACAGGTATTTCATAGAGTGAAAAAGAACGTGACCAATGGTGTTCAATCAGGTCTGTTGTGAGATAGTAACTCACTGAAAATAATGGTGGATGGTAGCGCAATTTTGTGGATTGGTTGAAGTTAGACATGAACATGGTTAAGCGCTCTCGCGCAAGACCGATAGGTCCTGCGTTCGAATCTTATGAGGCGGGATTGTGGATGCGTACTGATGAGAAGTCTCATACTACAACAAGACGGCAGTGCAGTGTTTCCAGGTTTTAGATGGTGGTCTAGCTTCAACTGATTCATGAACTGAACCATTAAATTAAAAATATATACGTTCAACATCTAAGAAATAATTCATTACATCCATCTACCATTTGTTACATTTTGTGTCTTAATAAAGAGTTCCTTTATTTAATAATGTTCACATCAAACCCCTTAAATTATTTATTTATATGAAGACATTGTTTTTGTTAAAGAACCTACTTTTAAAATGGAAACCACAATTACATTTTTTGAACAACTTTCCCAGTAAACCGATGGCATACTAAGTTAACTATAAAATTGATATTCTTCTCTGATATATCAACAAATTAATACGTATGTCCAATATCCAAACTGTTCTTAAGCAATCGTATACATTATATGAGAAAGTGAGACAATTGTATCAACCCACAATGATCTTAAACATTCCTTTAAAGTATGACCTTGGTCTACTTTTTGATTGTGGGCATCATAGTAGGTATCAGATGTCACCTTAACTTTCTTACACTATGCATTAAATAACTTACTTTGAATGATATACATCAATTTCCCAAGCATTCTTGTAGCTGTAATAACCGAAATATTCACTAGTAACTCCTTATACAAAAGAAATTATCATCATGTCCTTATTAGCAACTAAATTCGAGAGGTAGCTTCCTGGATTCAAGTGAGAAGCTGTGACTGATGGAGTTCAGCTATAATTGATGTGAAACAAGCTTTGTCAATCGAAACGGAAGAAGGTAGCTCAATATTGTGAATTGGTTAAATTAAACCATTGAATGGTGACACATTCTCCTGAAGGTAAAGCGCTTGCCACGAAGCCTCACGGCCCCGGGTTCGATTGTTGATGGAGTCAAGGATACGCACTGATGAGTGATGCATATTAAAACGAAACTTCTGTCCAATGCATCCTGGTTTTCATTGGTTGTATAACTATAGTCCGGCTTTGATGTGAAACTTAAAATCCACAACACTTTATAATGAGGCATTATTATTGAAGGATGACACATATGAATAACAGTTAGTACGAAACAACAAATCTTAATTATTTGTTTCTGACTATTCGTATGGAGTATTGGTTTACTAATTAAATCATTAAACTTTGGAATAATAAGTTACGGGAATAAAGCTCTTTCCTTATGTGATTTTGGTAGTATCGGTAATCTTTACATAGAAAATAAATGAACATCTACTGAGTCATGGAAATGAATTGATTTGTATTTTATTGATTACTTTCGCAATTATTTTTTTAGGATCCGGCAGTAGCTGGTAGCTATGGTTTACGAATGGAAGAGTTAATTTACAATTTGGCCGATACATATTTATTTTTCAATGAACTTGAAGTAAGTAGAAATAAGTATCTGTACATTTATATTAACTCATCCGGTTTATACTTAAATTGCATAGATCTGTGAAAAGTTTATGCATATAATTTAAAGTGAGACAATTACCTGTTGGCCAAACTATAATTTATGGATGATCCAATAAGGTAAAAGATAACAGGTCTCGGATTTTGGAGCGAAATTCACTCATCCATTTGGTTAAATAAAGTTTTGGCATTATAGTTGATGCCAGTTAGTGATGAAAACCTGAAATCTAATTCATAACCTTGACCATCAAATGTAAATCATAACGATTATTGTTCACGCAGGTTTATAACCCTGATTTGATCCTAGTTATTAACTGGACACTCTCAAGGTCAGTCTAACATCGCTCAAAAGTCGTCCATCAATTATAGTCTCACTGTAGTGTATTCATAATCAAGAAATGAATACTGTCGTACTGTTTAGTGTAAAGTTCCCCGTTTTAAAATCCAATATATTAATCATGGATGCAAAATAGTGAATAATCTTAAACTAAAACGAAACTTCTATTCAGTACCTAGTGGTTTTCAATCATTCTCCAATATAATTTCACAATAAAAATCGTCTTTTAAGTTCATCTGTTTGCTTTTAAAAATCTTCATAAAATATAAAATGTATTTACGGTCATATGATTAGAAGAATAAATATTCTGATTATAATCAGATGACAATCATATCATAAACATTATGAAAAGAGATTAATAAATGTATTGTGATTTAAAAGACTAAGGGATATCCTAATGAAACACTATATATCATTATCAGTATGTGTTTGAATTAGTTGTCAATATTTGAAACAGGGCTGGGTTCCAGTTATATCCAAATAGAAAGTATCCTATGAGAAGGAACGCTCGTTCTAGATCCTACTACTGGAGACAACCCATATACTCTATAAGACTTGTTATAAAACGACTATATCGACGTAACCCGTAGAAGGTGTATCTGAGCCAATAGAGATAGAACGAAATTTAGTCATGGAAATTAAAAATAGATTAATTCAAACCTTTGTCATTAATGACATAGACATCATATCTGTTGAAAACGTTAGTGACTATCGTGACTCAATAGCTCAGGGGATGAAGTATTGATGTTTCAAGCGAGAAATTAATAGGTTATTGTCACAATGTGAAAACCAACAGTAGGATGAAGGTACATCCATCTGATGAAACGTGTGTTCTAGATTCCACTACTAGCCACAATCCATCTATTTTAAAGTATCATCACAAACTTTTTGTACCGAATAATTTTATCATCAGTAGTCTGTTACAAATCATTTATATCATCAGAAATTATAAATGTAATGTGCTGGAAAGCAAAACATGAAGTTAGGTGCTAGACTTGAAAACGTTCTTCTTTAATTGTCTGATGTAATTTACTATAACTTTATCAACCTAATGAACGTTAAAGAGCAAAAGTGAAGTAAGATCACAATTACCGATTTTCTAAATCCATTTGAGGCTCAATAAAGTATATCCTTATATCCATCAGTTCAAACACTAAAATATAATTAATTAATTATTTATTACACTAACTATTCATTAAACAATCAAGAAGCTCAGATAGATACGTTTGACAATGCTACGTTTTTATCTAAACAGGAGACACTGATAATATTGACAAGACCGATAGTTTATATTCTGCAATTAATAATCTTCTTCATAGAATTCTATTTATTTTTATCCAGTGACACATAGGGTTACTTTAATTAGATCAACTAATTGATATAATAGAAAAGCATTATGAGCTAATTATATTCTTTATACGGTTCAAATAAAAAAATGACATAAGATAGGTAACCATTAAACGGCAGTAAGCAGTAGACAGCTGTTTCATTCGAGTATAAAGCTCTTAATCATTGTGCATTGACTACTCCATCGCAGGGGATAAACCCGAAACTTCTGATCTCAGGTGCTAACGTTTATCTTTTGGGTCATTAAAAAGGGAATCCAATGATAAATATATTTAACTTTCTAATCATTTCACAACCATCTTTCACTCCATACAAAGAATAAATGTGTTATACCTGATATGATTGAACTCCACTGGTCACAGATTTTTACAAGAACTACCAGAATCGCATTTAGCATTTAGTCAGTAGTGAGCACAAGATTAATTTTATGATTAGATTATCTTCTGACTTATATACAAAGTGATAAGCTTAATGTTAGTTCTTTTTTTAATTATCATAGGTGGATATCTGAGTGTATACTAAGTTATCATAAGCTAATCAGATTAATCGTAGATTGTAATAAGATAAACATTTGAAAAGATTATAATGTAATTTGATAATTATTCAGGGTAAAAAATATATAACATTCATCATCATAATTTGTTCTACAGTAGTGATATAGCATTAGTAAAACAAGAAATATATTTATTGGAGATTTATTTTAATTTCATGATAACTTGCTAATCACAATGGATAAGCGCCATACTGTATTGTAAACTAAGTGATTATAACTATGTGATTCAAAGTTATTTTAATCACTTTGATGGAACATGACTTAAGAGTTCTATTCCTCATAAGTAGCTAAATGGTAGCCACCAATAGAAAAGTTACAAACTAGAATGATACCAATGTATAATCCCATATGATTATCAGTGGTCTACTAATTAATGTCAATTCATGATAATTTCTTTCCAACATATTTAGTTACTCAAAAAGAGTTTATTTAAGCATTGAAAGTTATATTTTAACTTATCACTTATGGGATGCTCGGTGAGACTAATTGATGGACGACTTTTGAGCGATGTTAGACTGACCTTGAGAGTGTCCAGTTAATAACTAGGATCAAATCAGGGTTATAAACCTGCGTGAACAATAATCGTTATGATTTACATTTGATGGTCAAGGTTATGAATTAGATTTCAGGTTTTCATCACTAACTGGCATCAACTATAATGCCAAAACTTTATTTAACCAAATGGATGAGTGAATTTCGCTCCAAAATCCGAGACCTGTTATCTTTTGCCTTATTGGATTATCCATAAATTATAGTCTCGTCGGATGCTCATTATTATGCTTTAATTAAAAGTGAATATCTCGACGTATAATCCTAACACAACAATGCAAACTAATCCAAGTGATCACATATGTTAATAATCCAACTCGTCCAAACTAAATTTATCAATAATAATAATTAACGAAACATAATAAAATGAAAGAAAATAATGAACGGAATAAGAGGAATTTAATGGTCAAGTTGTTGGACAGTACAAACAGTAGATGTATCTGTACAGTAGAAGATATGTATGAATTAATTGGTTTGAGATAATATTCATTGTAAAGTACTACAACAAGGTACATAGAACTATCTTTTCTATTTGTGAATAAATCTATTACAACTTATAAAACATGAATTCTAGGCAACCATTTATGTAAAATTTACTGATGTGATCAATCATCATCTAAAATGGTGAGTGTAATAAAAAAAAACTTTGATTCCATTAATCGTTTGTTCATTTAGAGAACTAGATAAAACTGAAATAATCTGAACAATCTAGTTTTCTCAACTGAGACTTAATCCTGTCACAGAGCTGATGAATTTAATCACAGAATCTTGTTTTGTTTAAGTGAATTATAAAAGGATACGTATATCTTGAGTAAATCCGTTTTAACATACATATTTGTCAAAATAACTTGGTTAGTCCACATTTTCAACAAAAGAGTAGAAATACTTCATCAATTTTCCATTGCCATTGAACTAAATGATAATTGTGTTCTCACTTGTAACTTACTTTGATACAGATTACTAGTGTTTAAGTGAGAAGTTATAACCTAAGTAGCCGAGTGGTCTTCATCTAGAGCATCAGATAAATATCACGCTACAGTTCAAATTGACTTCGATTAAAAATATGAATCACTGGATTCTCACTAAACTGTCTACATGAAGGATACTTGGCATGAGATATTTAGTTTCCTCTACTCGGAAGAAATTTGAAGGCAATCTCTTTAACTAGTTGACAGATATATTTATTTGTTTGAACATATAAATATTGGTACGAAGGGGCACCGAATACATATGCGCCACACAAATCAGTTGATTTGTATGTGGGCTGCGATACTGCCCGAGGGCCCAGACCGAAGCAGGATAGTACATTTATTCATATCAAAAATTCATTTATGTAAATACTTTTGTATAAAAAGAGAACGGAAACTGAAATTTTGTTGCCTATTTACCACCTATAATCAATCAACCATTCACGCGACAATCATCTTTAGTTTTATATTCTAATTCCACTTTGTTTTTCAGGAATGTGATCAAGTTCATATTGATGATATACGCGGAGATGATAATTATCAAGATTTAATGTAAGTGAATAATAATATGTTTGTTAAAACTTATCGAAAACACAAAACTTTAATTTCTGTGATATGTATATATACATATATATACCTTGTATGCTACGTGATTGAGAGTAGTCCCCAGGAAACCCTGGATCTCGGCATCGTACTGGTTGATATTCATCAGTAGGGGTTACTAGCAATCGTTGAGGTGATTATATTTCATATGGGATTCGAACCCATCTCATCGTTTTAAGAGAGACGTAAGTTACTACTGAGCTACTTCTATAGAGATGAACCTTCTGTAGGACTGAGATATTCGCTAGTAATTTTTTACTGAGCAGTGACCGATTTCATTTTTATTTTGTCCTTTATTATTGATCAAGTTCTATCGATTATTTTTCGATGTGGTTATTAATCTAAGTGATTCAGTTACACATGATTTGGGCTCAAATCCCACGGGTATCACCAATTTCCTCAAGATTTTAGGTACAGCTAACTGATAAGCACATGCTAGCACAAAACCTAGATTTAGGGTTTCCTATAGAGTAATCTAGACTTGTGACTACATCGGTACTTAATCGATAGAATTCAATTAACACCAAAGGTTGATTGCTTAGTCAATTCCACATAACTTGAATTTGTAGTATGCATTATCGATTTAAATTTTTATCAAATACTAATTGATATATATGATCATTTCATTAATTAACTTACAAACAATAACAGATTATTCATTGTACATAAGTGGTTATTATGATTCAGTAGTATTTCTCGGTTTATTATTTGATGGATAATAAATACAATGGAAATCTTAACATAGGTATATATAATATGTGATTGACAAATCACTCTGACAACGAAGTCTGTTCAAACTGTAGTAATAAAATTCATAACCTTACTTGAAATAATGGATAGAAACTCTAGCTCATGACCAAACTATTAGATCATTGTATTGTCTGTAACTCAGAAATGTAATTCAGTTCTATGCAATTCAGTGAAATAATCACAATGTGCTAACAACAAACTTCAGACATTCAGATAACCAATTTGATGCATATGCTGGAAGCATACTAACTATAGTAACAGCATATGTAAATATCCACTCAAAATGATGACAAATGATTCTTCATTTCCTAGATGTTTTCTGAGAAGTTTCTACTCAACCCCGATTGGACTAACGGTCTTCTGACGTTTCTGAGCCTCTAGAGCCTTTAAAGAGGGTTATACTGGGGCACCCAGAAGAGAAATAAGTTGAAATTAAGCAGCTTTATCTCAACTAACTAACATAAAAATCATCATACAGTTATCATGATTTATTGATAACGAAGTAAATAAAGTTCAACACCTATGCGCAAGTTAGTGACTAGCTAAGTTCGGTAGTTCACTAGATAACGTGTTGGCATTTGGAGTGAAGGGTAGAACATTCGAGTGTTAGTGTGAGCATTAGCTACGGGATAAGGATACATCCACTTGACAAATCCTAGAAATGGCCCGTTTTTCTCCTTTCGTAATATTTATGATAGCTCAGTAGCGTCATCCATTGTTCAGCTTAACTTTACCATGCACTAACATTTCAAAATAGCTACATACATATTCCTACCATCTCTAATTTTTATTTATTAACTCTGCGATTAAAGTGTTGAGCAATTTTCATGAGCGATTTTATAAAGCTTTTTTCCTTAGTAATTCTTACCATGATTTTTTCCATCTGAACTAGTCGACCACCACCACTATCTGCCCGTACGCACTCATCTCCCTCTCTTTCACTTTCACAGTCAAACTCATTAACCAACATACTAGAGAACAAATGTAGATATAAAAGATTATATGCACATACATTGCATACACATAAACAAATATGCTTACGGACATAAGCATGAAGATACCAACAAGTAGACATACACAGAGAGAATGAGATTTCACATTCCATTGATTATAAATCGAAATATATACTTATGTAATCAGACTCTGGGTCAAATTTCATTTTCTTTATTCAAATAAAAATAAATTTTCGACAAAATATTTTGAATAGATTAATTTGATTGGTCAGAAGATTTTTAGGGCAGAAACTCCATTTTAATATTGTAATTTGTTTAAATAATCTGTGAAAATCAAAATATTATATTTTTATATTATTTAATGATAATTAATTGTTGTAACTATCATAAGAATATCATCATAAAGTGAAAACAGTTGAAGGACTAGCCGGAAACCAAAGAGTACTGGAAAGGTGATTGATGATATATTTAGGGACTACGGAATAATCGTAACGCCGTCGTTCAGATAACACGGTGAACACGATGCATTTCAACTATCGTGTAAAAACCAAATAAACATTATTCCCAATTTCAGTTTATTCACGATACAATGCGTTAAGTATCTAGCGGGATCTGTGAAAACTAACTCACTCCAAACTTGATAGGCTTCATTGATCTGAACTTCATATAGTGAACCTATGATATGGCGAAGAGACAGTCGGATTACTAGAGAATGGATTTCCTTGATTGCTTGGAATTAAAAAACTAACACAATTTTCCACAACTCAGAAAGTACCTCTATACGGTCCTAAGAATGCTTAGAATAAATGAGAAAACTCCTTTGCTATCGAAGGGTAGTAATGAAATAGTGTAAAAGCAAGCAACCGGGAAATAATCATTCTTTCTCATGAATATTGGATACAACATAAGAATAAATAGAGTTTTTCTGTTCCACTTAAACTTTCAAAAAAAGGATTTATTTGTAAGGATTTGAATCTTTTTTTGCTATTTATGTCAGGGATTGAATTTCGGTCAATATCTTTTGATATATGTACATGCTGAGCAGATTCCCTCAATATTACTACTAAGTCACAAGTTTCCAAGTAAATTTGGATATTGGACACCAGCAGAATCCACCAGGTATATACAGCTGACGAGTCTGAAACAGAATGAAACGTACGTCCTTGATTCTACTGTTAGTCGCTATTCAGATTCAACAAATAATTCTACCAATCCAATGAAGAAGAGATAATGTTTAACATAAATCATGCAAATTTACCAGTTTTGAAGCTAAGAATAATACTCAAGTATAACACTGAAGCGTGTTTTCAATAGAGTATGAATAGTTACTATCATTATTAGTAAGGGTTTGAGTTATCCTAGTGTTGAGATTCAGATAGAGACACTTGTCCTGGATTTAAATACTAGGCGTAATCCATCAATTCTAAATATTGAAATCATTATTTAATAAAGTTGTTTGTCTGATGAAAGATAGCTTTCATTAAAGTCTGACATCAGCTGAGAAACTAGTGAGTACTGGGAAATTGTTTCGCTCATTTTTAAACTCCTCTAGGGGACTTATGGAGCTAAACTTATGGGTTCCAATCTTAGTTGATTTGTGCTTGTATGTGTGGGTTGAAACAGGACAACTGACCAGTTCTCTCTGGTTTTTAATAAGTTTTCAGCTAAAGTCAACTGATAACCAACATTACTTGAACATTCATCAAGTTCTGAATTAAATACTATTATGTTGGAAAATATAGTAAATTAAAATTAGTTAAGCAAGTAGGATGTTCGTGGCTCATGTATCAGTGATCAATATTATTTTGTCAGTAAAAATGATGAATAGAATTAGATTAACACAAAGTGGAATCAACAAATGTACTTTACTGCTCATTGGTCAAGCAATGTAAATAGCTTAGTCCTACAGGAGGTTAGTAGCTGCTCAAATATGTCAGTAGTAACGTTTCTGGCTATGACATTAGATGATGCAAATAAAATCAATTCCTTCGGTCATACAGCTGTGACAGCTGTAATACAGCTATAACATTTTGACAACTTATTCTTCTGACAAACCTTAGATTAGTTCTGGATATCAATCGTTCATTAGCCTGAAACATATCTCTCTTTGATCAAAATGAAAATTCACTTGACAGGCCTAAAATAGGAAAAAACGTTTGTCCTGTATTCCACTACTTATCATAATCCAGCCTTATTACAAATGTATAACTTGATAGCAGTAAGGAGGCAGTTCGTTCAGTTTTCTGATACCAACAACGAGAAAACCCAAACCCTTACATATACATAACTAAACAAGTGTTCTCATAATTTAAAGATCAGAACACCACATAAGTGGCAGTCTTGAGGTATGGGTAATTAGTCAGAGAACTCAATATCGAGTTATTATACCATAAACTTGAACTTTGTCCCATCTACTTCAGTTTGAGCAACCGAGCAAAATCAATACATTTAAAATAGTGTTTCTCAAAACCAATTGCACGAAGCCTGTATATGGTCAATGAAATAGTTATATCAAACATATATTAATAATTAATAGCAGTAGTGGTGAGACAGAAGCGAAGGTGACTGTTTATACGCGCCTAATCACGCATATGGAATGTGCACAGTTAATCTGTGTATTGAGTGATGAATATTCTAACCTAATTTGTTCAACTTGTAACCTGAACTGATATCAGCTTACACATTTTGATTTTAATCTCATTATTCGTCTATTTCTATTTGTAGTGTTCATTGTTAGTGTGTTAGGCTTACTCCCCGTTATTTTAACTGTTCATGTAACTAGTTATTTAACTAGCCTAGGGTTGTAAAGATTGTTTTTTAAATAGGGAAATAAATAGTAGATGAGGGAGGTATAGAGAATGACTAACAGATTATTTTTATTCGTTATAAAAAGACAATATCACGAAACAGATAATCAAAAAATTGATAGACAAATAGTTAGCTTTGTGCTAATAGTGCCATGGACCGACTGAAGTTAGACTTGTACACTGCTGGATGCCCTAATTATTGGTCTAGAGGTTAAGGGTTCACTCGTAAGACCGAAGGTCCAGAGCTCGAGTCCCGTGTGCGAACTCGTGGATTCACACTACTGAGGAGTCCCATACTAGTACGCAAAGGCCTTCCAGTGCTCCAAGGTTTTTAATGGTGGTCTAGCTTAGATCGACTAATAAACTCAACTATTAAGACTCATAGATTCGTTCAAAAACTTATAATGATTGAATCAATTTCATTTTGTCCACGTATTATTATGCTCAATCGTGTTGAAGGGAAATATAAACTAACACATTGGTAGTTACCTTGACTATGGTAAAAAGGATATGTAGTAAAAAAAACTTTTGTTTATTCCGTTTTAATTATTGAACAAGATTTACAGAAGTGAAATTTATCAGTAAATTTTAACGGTTTCTTGCTGTCGTTATAGTTATAAATGATTTGCTAGAAGATTGTCCATTTTTAATTATGCATGGTTCACGGATTAACTTCACTTACACAACCAATGAAATTAAAAAGGGTTGAATGGCTATTTCTCCCTAGTTTGAGACTCCTAAGGAGTGCACCTCACAGGTCTGTAATATATGGAGTTTAACCATGTCGGACATGAGACAGGATCCAAATAGATTAAGGTTGGAAGTATGAACTACTGCTTGCCAACTTAGTGGTCTAAAGATGGTGGACCTATCGCAAGACTCCACTACTGAGAGGTCTTAATCAAGGATGAGATATACATACCAGTCCTTTATTGTATTGGATGATAATGTAAATAAAGTCGTACAGTTATGTGAAATAACCTTATAGTTTCTGATTGTTTCTACTTTATTCTTTGGATTAGACAAACTCTCCAATCAATACTACTTTCTACATTCTTGTTTCGTCGTTATTATTAGGAATTATCGTTCAGATAATGAAGCATATGGAGAAAATTCTTCAACAATATCACAATCGATTATTTTATCACCATCATCATCGTCAACAACAGCAACAACAACAACAACAACAACGGTACATGCTCCGATGACATCTTCATTAGAAACCTCATCACCCATAAATGGGAGTATGCTGTCACCACCACCAATATCCTCAGTAGCACCATTAACAAATATGATTGGAGAAATTCCAACTAGAGTTAATACACCAACCTTACATGGTAGTATGGAATGGATGCGTAAATTGGGATTTCGTTATCGTAGAATACGTGAAATCTATAACTATTCAAGGTAAGATAATAATCATAAAAATAATGGTAATAGTATCCGAAGTTATAGGTTTGAATAAATAATATAATAATAACTATATGGTAGATGAATGAAAGTAATTATTAAAAAACAATGACCAGAAGTTTTTTAACAGTTGTCACTAATCAACAAGGTGTATCTATAATCCTGATATAGCTAATACTCCTTGTCTAATTTAGATCAGGATCATTATGTGTTACATTAATTATAATTGAATAATGAAGTTCACACATGATATTAAGTATTGATTATCAAAGAAAACGTTTCTCTTTCTCAACTGTACTGATTTGATTATGTAAACAACTAACAAATATAAACTTAATTAAATTATTTAAAATGGCAGTTATAATAAATTTATTTACTAACATAAATTGTAAAAGTAAAGAATTCTTAACACTAATTGTGTAGTGGTGAAGATTTTTAGCTCACGTGGATGATTGTGATGGAGTTTTGTTCTCTGAGCTGGATGGTTTGATCATACAGGTCAGGTAGACTTCTATCTGGAGTTTGTGTTGATGATGTCGTCCAGAAAAACAATGAAAGCTCCACGACCAAACCACCCAGGTCAGAGAACAAAACTCCATCATAATTGTGTAGAATTTTCACGAATTTCCACTTGACATATACAAAGTTGAAATTCATCAATAACATATTTTAAGCATGTTTCCAATAGTCATCAACTGCCATCCGACTTCAATTCAGAATGTTTTCTACCAGTTCAGTAGATACAATAACTGTTTCAATAGAGATCATACATAAGTTGTATGAATCCCAGTGTACTCATGTCTTGTTGTGCTTACATTTGAGTTTTCCAATATCCATAGTCATAATAATAATAACTTTTAAGCCTTTTATAATATCTCATGAGCACATACAATTGTGATATATAGTTATTCTGTCCAAGGAAATGGAGAATAGTAGGTTAACTGAAATGTTGTCACACTTAATATTAGGTGATCCACACGTTTGATTAGATCACCTTATATGCTAAGTGATATAAATGTTACTTCCGAGCCTATATAACATAACATGATAAGGACTGTTAGAAAACCTAGATAATACTTTTTAAATATCTACAGATACCCGGAAAAAGACGGAAAGTACTTGCATTGATCAGTTCTGTGAAAACTTCCATAAAGATTTTAGAATCGATGGATTTTGTTACCTATATCTGACTGAATAAATAACAATTTGTTACCAGGTTTAGCACGCTTCTCAGAAGCTTCTACAAACCCAAAGTCATATATTGTGTTATAAATACGCTTGCTTTCTACACATAGACTAACCTTAGAAGTAAAGCTTATTGCAATTTTTATGTCTGTTTTCCTGTTCTAGGTTCAAGCAGTAACTATTCAAATAGACTGACAAATTTTCATTTCTTTAGGAAAATCTAATACAAGATCTATTATATGGGTCACGTATTTTTGAATTACACTCATCTTCATGAAACTTCATCAAAACTATTTATTATTAGCACAGAAGTTTTGTAGGAGTTTTTAAATTTGTAATTTTTCAAGCTAGACAGCTGTTGGAAACTATGACATCTTGAATGGCTGTTGTTTCATCCGATTATATGACTTCTCAGCGATGCAAAGCATAACATTACCACGTATTAGAAATGGAACCTTTAAGTCACACGGCCGATATTCAACCTACAAACCACTGATTTGTTATTCAGTTCTTTACATTTTTCACCTCAGATAATCATATTTGGCGTATGAAAATCTTTTACTTTAAATTTAATCTTTAATATACCAGTGAACTTGTAATTTAAATTCCCAAAACTGCGTCCTAAGAAATTAGGTAGACGTTCATGATGTTATACGTAGATAAAGATGATTTATGAAGGCTAAATATATGCATCGGCTAATTATCTGAAGTCAAGTGATAAAGCGATAACCAAATGTGTGTTCTGTTTTATTTGTGTAACTTACCGGATACATTAACGGACATGAAATTGATAGTAAGCTTGTTTCTATTTGATTTTAACTTGTAAAATATGTAGCCACGCATTTTCGCAAATCTAGGATTTTTAGCTTCTTCAACCTAAAATTATCGGCGGTAGAAAAGCTTTTCAAATACATTGTTTTATTGGAAAATATTAGTGCTTAATAAACAATGAAGTGAGTAATAATGATTTCACACGGAGTTTATGGCTAAAATGGAAGTAAAATTTGCTTTAACGCTACATATTACTTATTATTACAACAGTAGTAAAGTGAATAATATGTATTGGTTGTTAGGATCTTGGCATTGATGTTTAGAACTGCAGTTGATAAGTCTTTTTTGGTACCTTGTGTGGATTGCCTCGTTAATGTCACTAAGTCGCAAATATTTTTACAAAATTCCACTGTCCATCAGAAAGAATCTAAAGTATAAAAAGTAGATTTGGTACATAAACCTAAAATTCAGTCACACATGAATTAAAAAGCATACAGTGAGCAGAGAAATATTTCTTTTCAGTAGTTCCCAGTCAAGGCTCTAAACTGATATACAATTAGGCATAAATTAATACCACATATTGATGGCTCAGCAAATTTTATAAACAGAAATTTTTCATCCGGTCTCTATATTTACCCTGACCCTCTACTTAGTTACTCTTACGTTCCTCATAGTTTTCGCTTTCATTCAATTTTAAACACTGGTTCTATTTTCAAATAATCTACCTATCTTAATCATCTGACTATATGATTTTCTTTGCACTCTTCTTACTAAATACATATAATTAATATTATAAATAACACCACACATTATTATCAACAGTTTACTTTCTAAAATACTTAACTCTTACACTTATTCCTACATAATTAACCGATTATGTAATCCTTTCTTTAGATTTATACTTCCATCCGCTGAGCTAATAACTAATTGAAAAAATAAGTGAAAAAATCAACAAAAATAGAAATGATTGATCTTATCTGGAATATCAGAAAATGTTCTTGGTACTTCTAAAGCAAAGACATTTTAAGCTCGTGAATTTAGGCATATAAACTAATTAGCTTCTCAGTTTAACAATCCTATTTACTTAAAGTGGTTTTTATGGTTAGTGTATTCTAGCAAGGTTTTTAATGGGATGGGGCTGCGAATCAATCCCCATCCTTTACCCTGCCTTGGGACCTACAGTAAGCTTATTAGGACTTCAGGCCGAGTTATTCTTGGTTATTTTCTAGTAGAAATGTTAAAAATAATAATCTTACTGAATACCTCCTGCTTGAATTAACGGAATACTCCAACTTAACCCTCAGACATCTTAAATGCTTTCTCTGTTAATATTGTCAATCTTCCCTAAAATATGTCACATACTTGATTTTCACATTGTTATAACTTTCATTTTATTTTATTTTGTATATATTCACAACATTAAATACTAAAAGTCCATAACGACCAAATGCTCCCGTAATAAGTTATAAATTTATAATGATCTTCAGAATAAAATGATAAATATTTTAGCAGAGAAATTCAGTAACACGTCATGACAAAACAGACCCTAAGAAAGGAAAGTTCATTCTCAACCAATTAGAAAGCACGAACAAACATTGATGCAGTATCAATGTTTGTTCTTGCTCTATTTAAATTCATAAAGGGAACCAATTGCATGAAATTAGAAAGCAACTTGAGAAAATGGTTTTTAATGAAAAAGTTATACTGACCAAGTAAAATTAAAATGTATACAGTATTTGAACTTGATTAATGAGTTTTCAAAGTTTCTTGGAATTTTTCCAAATGTTTTAACGATATAAGTATTTGTCCATCTGTATATTATAGGTCGTTTTTCAGCTGGAGGTTATAATCCCTTAACATTATATAGACTAATCATAGCTCTAAACCTAACATGATACTTAATCATTTTACAAAATACATGTTACTATAATTTTAGTATTTGTATCAGAAGGGTTTTCATGGATATTATAGTAATTTCAGTAATTGAGATCATGAGTCAAACGCTTCTGATATGAATCAACATGTATTCACTAGTGACTGGCTTCAAGAGGTATTTCCTGGAGTTCTAATGAGAAGCAGTGATCAGTAAAGTTCAACCGGGTCTGTTGTGAGATAGTAACTCACTGAAAACAATGGTTAATGTGTCTCTCCATTTCGGGGATTAGTTGGAGTTAGACATTAATACCGTTCCAATATCACGAAGCGGGATCGTTTATTCGCACTGCTGAGGATCCTCATACTACAACGAAACGGCTGTCTAGTACTTCCAGGTTTTCCATGATGGTCTAGCTTCAATTGACTCATGATCTTAACCAGTAAAATTTAGTATTTGTTTTGATATTTATTTGCTTACTAACTTTATCGTTCATCATATTGTCGAATATTTATTGAACTGCATTACAGAATGGTTTCTAGTAATTAAATTAAAGTATAATACTTTCTATCTTATTTTAGCATATTTATTGGTTACAAGTAACTAACTGTTACAAAATAGTTAAATAGAGTAAATTCATGTGTTTGCTCTTTTTATTCGACTTTTGGATTGTAATTAGATGATTAAAAAGTATTATTATTATTATTCAAAGTTTCGCATCAAATAGTGATTTTGGTTAGATAACCATTGAAAACCAGGTAGCATTTGACAGCTATTTCGTCCTATTAGAGAGCTCATCTATAGACCGCATCCATGACTTTTTCAGGAATCCATCTCACTAACTTTGGGCTTTACAATGAACACTTAATTTAAAATTCAACAACCTTCACAGGACCCTATAAAAGTAATTTCATTCATCAGATTATTTGAAAGAAACGTTACACATATCTACTACGAAGTTATATGAGCTAAAAATCACACCGTAGTTATTTTGTTGTAGTTTGGAACCACTTATAGGATTATTAAAAACTACAAAACTCCAGTCACAGTGGTAATCCATCACACGGTCACTTATCTCACAAGGAGTACTCTTCTCCTAAGTTTTCATGCGAGCCTTACTGACAAGTCCTGACTGATATACTACCTTGATTCAGAGTATCCTCTCAACTATTTCGAACCACCTAACATTCAATGGAATTATTTATTATTCACTACACAGAAAAAATCTCATATAGGATTGAGTTTAGAACTATTAGTGTATATAGTTCATTGTAAAAGGTTATCAAAATAAACCTTGCCTTTAAAATGATTTTTTTTTAAAAACTTATTTTCAGAATAGGAGTTTGTAGAGATTGTAGTAAGTTTAATGGTTGAATTAATGAGTCGATCTAAGCCAAGTCACTATTAAAAACCGATCTCATAGTAAAGATGAAATGGTCTCATGAATTTAACTATTAAAAAAAATTTATTTTAAAATAAACATTATTTCCTTCAAACATGCACAATATCTACACATTTCCTCTCTCCCTCTCTCTCTTAATTTCTTAGACATAATGTTAGTGTACTTTTAGGTTATCCTAAAGCAAATCAATGGATTCATTTAAAAAATAATTTGGATATATTAACTGATCATTGGTTAAGTATGGCTATAAAAGCAACAGAGAAAATTAATAATCGTGAAGATAGTGTTAATATATTAGTAACAACAACACAATTTATACCATCATTAGCAAAAATTTTATTATATGGATATGGTAATTCATTTCAAATTGAAAATATTTATTCTGCTACAAAAGTTGGTAAGTTTCAAATCATTTGTAAATATTAAAAGTATTTTTGTATACACATTTAATTTGAATGGTTAGTAAAGTCAGAATACACGTTTCATCTTGCATGGGCCTCATCAACTAAGTGTAAGTAGATACCAGTGTTGGTGTTCATACGCTTCAAATATGAATGAGGCCTCTATTGAGTCCAGATAGCCATTAGATTTGTTCAGTCAGTATGAACTTATACATATGTGAGGGTCCAGATTCTTTAGTTGTTAATATTGTGGAATGCATTTGGTATATGTTCGTCTTGTGCAGACTGCTTCGTTCATTGCCTTTAGTTAGGAGTTTTTTTTATAGCACAGCTCGAACCCTTGCATACTGCTGTTATTATGTTTTGTTGTTAATATAAATAAAACTATCTATTTATTTGACAGTACATCTTTACTAGCCTAGTTGTTATTAATTTTTATTGATGCTATTAAGAATGACTAAATCTTATAAATGCATCTGTAGAACTGAGTAAATTTGATACAAAATAACCTCTCTATTATAACTCAATAATCAAACTATATTTACCAGCAAGTATTCAGTCATTTTTTATCTATCAATAAATAGTAATAGAATATATGGTCTCATAAAGTTTTTGGAGAGTAATAAAGTCTTTGTCTATGGAGGTGACTTTAGTAAACCAACAACTCAATGGATGGTACCAAGGCATTAGGAAAATGATAACTATTGGATTCAAAGTGAAGTAGTGGTTTGGTGTGTGAAACAATCGATTTTCAACCAGTTGTCTGTAGATGCAAATTCCTCTCGACCTATTTTAATCCAGCTAGCTGGATCGTATCACTAGCCATTACACAAATTTATTGATACTATCCCAGTACATCGACATGTACCTCATGAGTTATATTAACTAGTTCCATATGTCAAAGGAAAAAGCAGCATGTAAGGTTTCAAAGTGACCAGCTGACAAGTCACATATAGGAAGCACTATTATCTATCACTATAAAAAGGCTTGTTCCTCATTTTTATAAGTTATAGATACTCAGCGTATCGAAGAGAGGTTTCTAAATCTAAGTTAGTAAGTTAAAAATAACATAGCATCTTGGACAAATTAGTATCAACTCGACTTGGCTTAATCACAACGAGAGGAATTAACAAGATAAAAAATAGAGAAGTCGAAGGAATTTTATCGGCATTAGTGATAGCTACGACATATGATGCAGTTTGAAAAAAGAATAAACCAAGAGAACTGAAAAGTATACACTTATATTTGGAGGGATATAAAACGTGAATACATCTGAACAACTCAAACTAAGTTTGAAACATGCTTAGATTTTCTTGAAAGTACACAGAAAAGTGAACTTGTTACATATGCATCCTAGTAAAATGACTACTTCTGGAACAAAATTTAAGTTCTTAACAAGCTGACAATGTAGTAGCTGAGTGTGAAACAGACCATGTAATAAGATACGAATGAATTAAAGTATTTGACGAAATTCGAACAGTTTGTTTCTTTGTAAAGTAAGTTTGACTGATGTAGTTTAAGGAAGGCGTAGAACCACCATCCATAAGATAAGAGATTCAAGACTCGAAACACATAATTCGTTTTGAGAATCCAGGTAGTACTGCTTGCCTTCACACATGAATTGTAGCTCATTACTGAATAAAAGAACCCGTAATTGGAAAATCAGCTGAATCCCTATCTATCTGCAATGAATAACAATATTACCAAAATCCATCTCGTAAATTACTAAATTCTCTCAATGATGTACTGTTTATAAGAATAGTATCAGCTACTTGAATTGTTTTCATCCAAGGATTACGTACTTGATTAAAATATACATACTATTTTATCGAAGTATAAATCTATTTGTGACAGTAATCTTAGTAAAAAATCGAACAGTAACGATCCATGTAACATATAACTCCATCTATTCGATATTATATTCATGAATTCGGAATTTAGATTAAATTAATTCTGAGCGTATTGTATCATTATTTGTACTTTTCGTATTCCTTTATCATTGATATTCGCCAACTGGTCATATTTTAGGTGTTCCCTTATCTAGTATTAATGTTCATACAAAAGCTTAACCCAGTACCCTTTGCTTCAAATGACAACACATTAGAAACTGGGTTCATGAGACACATTATTTATCCAGGTAAATCCAACTGATGAGTACCAAACAAAATGAAGCGCATTTCCTGGATCTCCCTGTTAGCCACTATTCAAATATATATATATATATATATATATATATATATATATATATATATATATATATATATATATATATATATATATATATATATATATATATATATATATATATATATATATATATATATATATATATATAAACCTCGTTGCTTACAACAGATGTATATGGATACCTAAATTAATTTTTTTGTATCGAAATAGGTAAAGAGAATTGTTTTGAACGAATCGCATCAAGATTTGGAAGAAAATGCACTTACGTAGTTATCGGAGATGGTAAAGAAGAAGAAGACGCTGCAAAACAGGTTAATTTATTTTAGTGAATAAATTATAATTTGTTAGTGACAGACAACTAGCAATAAGGTTTTGCAACTATATCTATTGAGCTACGTGTGAATCAGTAATCGTCTGATTGTGGGTATACATTTTGATGAAAATCTTTCTACTTTCACAAAATTATAATTATGATTCGTATAATACAAGTCATGATTAAGTTCCTGCATTCAGTTATTGAGAATCCAAATTTGTAAACTTGGAAGTTGGCTGTTTCTTCTGTATTATTCCCATCTAGTCCCCTTCACTATTCCTTTCCAGACTCTTGAAAAAAGATTCTTAGGTACTCGATACCTGCATGTTAGGTTAGTGGTTTATCTTCCGAATTTATTATGGGAATAACAATGAGAACAGTCATCCGAAATCTTGGGTGAAACTATCAAGTGTTATTTTATCAAATATAAATAATCTATTCTATTCATAACTTTCTACTCGTCTGTCTTCTATGATACAAGTACATTAGAATTCATACTGATGCATCGAAATCAAAAAGCTCAAATTTCCTATTGAACAAACGCATTAACTAATTACTTTCAAATTTTCTAACATATATACTCCAATATTAGTGATGACATATGCTCCATTGGGAGTAGCAGGCGTAAGTAAGTAGGTAAGCAATATTAGTGAAAACTCGAAGTAATCTGTTCAAATATTGCAATAAAGAAACAATGTGTACTAGACTCGAGTTTTAGTGTGAACATCAACACAGATGTCGTTATATTCAGTCAACAAATTCTAAAATAGGACGAAATGGGCATTTCAGATTCTGATGCTAGTAAAAAATTCAACTCTACCAAAATTTGTGATCTCATTTCACTATTTAAACGATCCGTTCAGCATGCATACATACTAACCGAGACTGAACATATTAAATCTAAGAGATCGATGACAGGAAATTACAAACCCTTGCTGAAGTAACAACGATGTTTGAAGTATATAATGAGTTCATTGGGTATTTCAATGGTTTCTCCTAAAGCACATGCGAGTTATTAAGTGTAATTCATTTAAAATAATCAAATACATTTTATTGCAATATGTCGATTGTTCAATAGTGAAAAGTAAATTGTTCGAAAGAAAAATTTTTTCAATAAAACCAAGATTCGATAACAATATTTGGGGTTGTAGTTCCAGAATACTGAAGATCATAATCTTATTAAAAACTCAAACAGTTAGTCGGACTATGTTAGAAATGCTTAAATCTAACTCAATAAAAGATGCTACAGTCAAGGAGACGGAATGTCTATGTGGAGCCCTTAGGAACCTGGTCGTGGTAGTATATTCGTTGAAAATCTCAAGAGAACAAAATTCCTGACTGCTATCTAGGAGACTACATTTTATCTAACCTATAACGATAAAAATCGTGCTAATAAACTGTTTAAAAATTTCTACAATTCATATCTTAATATCACATTCAAAATGCACATGGAAGAAATGACACATTTCATTAGGTATCTTTGAAAGAAATGATTGAACCTGTCAAATGTATATATATCAGTTGGCAGCATCATCTTTTATTGAGTTAGATTTAAGCATTTTTAACACAACCTAACTAACTGTTTGAGTCCTTCAATGTTCTTAAAAAATCTTTATCCCATTACGTAGTAACACCATGTTCTTCAGTGTTCTAAAACTTACTTACGCCTGTTACTCCCAAATGGAGCATAGATCCCCGACCAGAATTCTTCAACCCACTCTGTCCTGGGCCTTCCTTTCTAGTTCTATCCAGTTTTTGTTCATTTTTCTCATGTGTCTCCATTTCCCGACTTAATGTGCTCTTTGGTCTTCCTCTTTTCCTTTGATCTTCCTTCAACTGGGTATGTTGTGAGATAGTAAATCACTGATGACAGTGGTGGATACGTCGCTCAGTTTCGTGGATTGGTTGAAGTTGGGCATTAACGACATTTGTGCCGACTTAGTGTTCTAGTGGTTAAGCGCTCACGCGCGAGACTGATAGGTCCTGGGTTCGAATATCTCGAAGCGAGGTCGTGGATGCGCCCTGCTGAGGAGTCCCATACTAGGACGAAACGGCCTTTCAGTGTTACCAGGTTTTACATGGTGGTCTAGCTTCAATCGACTCATGATTTCAACTATTGAAATTACCAAAATCTCCACAAAACCTCTTCCTATATTTTAAATGAATTACACACTTAATAACGTGCCTATACAGATGGGAAGAATTTTTTGGAAAACCTGTTTTTTTATTTTATTTTGAAAATTTTAGTTCCACTGGCCATTTTGGAGAATAAATACTCATTCGGATTTGAATGCTTTAAATCACGCTTTGGATTTAGGATACTTATAGTTTAATAATCTTATGTGAAGTATTCATTTTTGATTTTTGCTCTTGCATTATTATTATTAGTAGTATATTTCGTATAATATAAATTAAAACAACTTACGTTTTTATTTTAGAAAATAAAGTACCTATCTTTAACAAATCTAACATGTACATATTTCATCTTAGATATACAACATTATTATTAATTACTTGATTCACTTCTCAGCGTTTGTTTTGTAATAAATACTGAATCTATCAATTAACACATTATTAATTCTGTGGGTTTTCTTTTAAAGTATACCCCAACCAATGCGAAAAACACAGGTAACATATTGTGGATATCTAAATTCGATAGAATTTAGTGGCATGAATAACACGCTTCAATATTATTGCATGCCAATATTTCATAAACATTCAACCGATTATGAACAACAAAGACGATAGATCTGGAGCAGATAGCATCCTCATTCAAGGACAGATGTAAGAGAAGAGATTATTTAGCTGATATTTAAAAGCGGTACATGTTAATGATAAGATACCGAAATGATTCTGATGCTAAACTGGTTTAGCGAACCTAGTTCATTAAAACTGAGTTGATCAGCACCATATGTTGAACCAATATATAATTACAAGATAAATGGAACAAATACTGATTGAAAGTAAATAAGCTAATTCAGTATTTTTTCATATTTCCAACTTTTAATGAGTGAGAATAACTGACAACCTCAAATATCTGACCTAAAAAGTTCGTATTGGTGGGCTATTTCTTTTCGTAAAACATTGTGATAGTTTCCTATTGAAATAATCCTAAAATATAACGCCCTAAGATTAAGTGACGGCTGTGAATAAACATAGAATGTCCTCATTTATCTCAGTCAACAGGTATTTACAGAGTCAGCGACTGATTCCTTGTAGACATATATATGCCTGAAAGATGAAAACAGTTCGATGGCTTCACAAACAAAATTAATTAACTAGCTATTCATGTTTGCTGTAAACCATTTTCGATTAGTTTAAATGTTGCAACTTATTCACTTACTAGCTGATTCTTATTCGTCAAATGTTGCGGTATAACATATTAATAATTTTAAATAGAATTTATGGGTATAATATTTATTAAAATGAACCGCCCAATAATGAAAACCATAGATAAAGACAGACTGGTTAGAATTCGCCACATCTATGTGTATTTAACAAATCAACTGCTCCTGTGGAGCCAGTTGTGTAAGACATGCAATTCGACAAGTCCTTCATTTCAGAGCAGAGCACTATTCGTCTTGGTTGAGGAAAGGATATGTAAGAGTTCTATTCCCGCTCACTTGGTGGACACAGGACGTCAAGTTGACTTGAATAAAGCTTTTAAGATTATCTATAATATCCCATCAAATTTACCACATGATTTATGAGTTTGTCTGCTGCATATTGCTGAAGCTATCGGAATTCATGTTCAAAAACCTAACATTTACATCCGAAAGAAGTTTTTATAACCATTCTCACTTCCTTGGTCATCGGTTTTCAGCTGAGCTTTCATTAACTCCTTTCTTTCAAAAATATTCAAACAATTTTCCAATTTATCACCTTTAAACACTGCGAAGTATCGACCTAATGTTCTGTATACAAGAGGTGTTTAGTGATTGCACTGTTTAAAGTAGTTGTCTCTCTTGTTTGAAAAATCTAAGATATGAGCTCCTTTCTGTCCGGCCAATATAGCTACTTTAGCAGGCACACGTAAATTTATAAAAACAGCTGGCAGTAACATGAAAGAGGTACTTGTCGATCTTTGATAGGGTTATTGAACATGTTGTTTTACACAGTAATAGTTTGGCTGCCCAGTAAGTTCTGGCTAATGCAGTGTTAAGTCTCCTGCTGAATGTGCTTGCGACGTCATCACAATTAAAGTTGAAATTCATAGATGCTGGTTTTTTGACTGCAGCCACACCCATCTTATTTTCTTTAGATTTTTTATATTTATCTATAAATTTCTATGGGAAGTAGTTGTTTTTAGGGAGTTTTTCCACGTCTATCAATTCTTTCAGTTTGTCGGTGTTACATATCCTTTTCTACTATACAAAATAGTTTTAACCAATGCTTTCTTGTGACTGATTGAACGGAAATTATTGAAATTCAGGTAAAGACCGTTCCAAGTACGTTTTCGATAAACTGAATGTTGAACTGTCATTTCGCGCCCCCGTTATATAGGAATGTCAAGAATGTACACACCGTTAACAAGTCATAATTGTACGGTGTTGTAACAATTCTGTTATTTTACTTCATAGATAAAGTAAATAATTCAAAAGAAGATAGTAGTATCTCCTTATATTTCACAAAATAATGATAATAATAGTAATGTAAGGAATTCGATCACGGTTATTATAATTCCAAGATCTACAACAAACACTAGTTTCACGAGTTTATATATTCTTGAATGGTATAAACTGGTGACAACTTATATCGTGTTAACTGGTCCAATGACTGAACGCAACTAATAAATATACTCCAGCAAATACAGTACGTTTCGTGAACTACATAGAATTGTGAATGTATACTGAGTGATTTCGACAGCTTAAAGTAATTTTACCACATTGTAATTAAGGGAACTCGCTAAAAAGACTATAACAGTAATTATAGTCCCCTACCATCCAAATTAATCAATCCGGTTTCTATTAGAAACGGTTGACAAGGTAACGTACAGCAAATCCTACAACATATATATATATATATATATATATATATATATATATATATAAGATTTGAGTTATTAAGTATGAAATTCACTGGGAATAACGTCTACTTGTTACTTTTAAGCATCATTCTCTTCGAACGTGGAACTGTGGACGGTTCAAATACTACTACACAAAATGTAACTGCTAGTTTAACAAACATAGTTTTCAAATGCCAAATTAAAGATCAATACTGCAAAACGGTTACGAATAATCAATTAGATAAAACCGAACTAACTACATTATGGAGAGTACTTCACGAGATACAAAAAATTCTAACCGGTTTCCATTGCTATCAAGCAGCTTAGCTTAAAGGTATATAATATTTATAAATGTATTATTGAACAAAATTATTTATAGTTATCTGGTTGGTTTATAAAAATATTGTTGCAACACACTTTTGTAGCATATTTTGGGAAAAAAGAAAACGATTTTTGAAATGATATAAATATACTTTTTAAGTGCTAACCGTCAATATATTTGATGTTGTAAGCAGTTTTGATCTGATGACAGTAAAACTGGTCATTGATGTTTATTGTAAATTTGCGTTGCTCTGAAATGGTAATTTGATGCGTTTCTGACAAACTTATTATCCTACCTCTCCATTACTGGTATCTAATGAGTTTGACAAAGAGGTTATTTGTTGATAAAATTGACCTTTTAGGTCTATGTATAACACCAATAGTTTTTGTAATGCCATGTATAACAATATCAGTATATATGTCGTGACTTTATGCCCGTCCACTTGAGTCCAGAACACCAGTACCAGCTTCCACTATGCGAATCGAATCATTTATTTCAAACATACTGTGTTTATATATCAACCAAACAGACCGCAACGCACCATAAAATAGGAAACAACATTTGTACACAATAAAGCCAAAAAGTGACTGTAAAAGTGGGAGGCAGCAGTTAATAAACTGAACGTAGCTTAAGAGGCGTAAATCCTACAATAATAAATAATAGGTCAAAATAAAGCTTATAATAAGAGGAATATAAATATACATAATCTAATCATTGAATAGTTACACCATAAGAATACAGAGATAATATTAGTCAATTAATATGTCTCAGGAGTTACTCGTGATTTAATCTCTGCTCGGATATAACAATATAGACAGGATTTTTGTCGCTTAAATTTAGGCTTTAATCAAGGAGATGCACTAACAGTGTGCAGGTGTCAGTGATCTTTCTAGATTAAAGACTTATGATAAACATTGGGAATTTGAACTGACTTGCAGCTTAATGAACTCATGTACCCGAGTAACCATATCAGCACCGTTGTTATTACGGATCACTAGCTTCATATACTGATCATAGGTACTGAAAATACAACAAAGGTCACCGAAAGGTTGACAGATGGACGTTTGTACGAGTTTCCTATCGCGTGGGTTTCGTGGTAAGATGACAGTGGAGCCTTTTTGATCTCCCTTATGTTAATTTCAAAACACGAATCTTTCTGGTTTAGATTAGCGTTGGAGCGGTCGTCATAGAAACGGAACCAAGTGTCAAACTTGGTATTGCCCAAAGGATTATAAACTCGGCAATGTTGTCAAACAGTGCCAGAGCATTTGCTTGAGGAAACACTTTTTCAGCATTCCATAGTGCACACTCTTGATGTGGTATGAATATTCCAGTTCAAATAAGTGTTCGTAGGGACGTGACAGTTTAGGCGTGAGCGGACGAGATCAAAAATACTTTTGTTCGATCCACAGATGAACACTGTCGACGAGACATATACAAGGACGAAGCAGTTGTCCAGGTTTTCAATGGTTATCTAACGTTTATCAGTTACTGACCAGAACAGGGTTCCATCCTCATTATTGAAGCAGCGGATGATAAGAAGTGTATATGAATCCTCATCAGACAAATGTCGTTGAGTTTCTTGACTTTCACAACAGATCAGATACGTTCAAGTACCGGGGTAACATTTCCTAACTCCAAATTTAATATAGTAGACCGCACTATTTTAACTCAGCCCTCTAATTAGAGTGAGAAGTGCAATTTTCTAATGAAAGCTTTATTAATGATGACAGAACTAAAAATACATTTCAAATTAATCTGTTATGTATCAATCAATGATTAAGACAGATGGACAGTGGTTTTTACTAAATATAATCATAGTAAATTAATGTAACAGAAATGTGCTGAAGATTGACCTTAGACCCACCTCAATATCGGTTTCCTTCCTAATAAGTCGTATTTAGGGACTCCATATCCACAAGAGGACCATAGACCTGGATATCAGACTATGACAGTTGCCCCGGCAACTAAACAAAATACAGTCAACCAATGGTCTCAGTGAAGATCACAAAAGGAACAACCATAAATAAAACCTAAGCAACTACCATGATTCATAATTACACATGGATGAAAATACCTGGTTGACCGTTCACCACCAACAACTTCGAAGTAACTCATCTGGAGTGTGAGTGACATACAAAGCCAACTTTCTTAATCCCACGTGACACGTAACCAAATATAGAAAAGTTACATAACGTAGCTAGTTATTTCTGTTGGTTATGAATTGTTGATTTCATGACATTGTAGACATGCGACCACATGGTAAGTTATTAATCAAGGTCTAGTACAGTACAGTCCGATCTATAGAGAGCTGATTGTTAGTCAATGTAAATAACTCCTAAGAATGAGTGGATCCAGGCATTTTATTGGGTGTAAAATAAACCCTCATTTAGCATCTTAATTAGATAACCCGATACACAGTCCTCCTGTCAAAGTACCACGACTTTCGCTGTATATAATTATCTGCGAAAAGATAGTGCAGGAATGAGGTTTGCTCGTGGAGGAATTCCAATGTCGTACGTGAAACCTGGAAAACAACTACGGAAGCATATCTGCTCGAAACCCAATCAGTTAGACAGGACTTTCTTTTCTAAACTAAAAATATTCAGGTCAGGTACTTAGAGAGTGGGTATTTCGACTAGCTATGAAGCCAAAGACTTTAATCAAATAATAACCTTAGTATCAAATCTCGCTACAACCCACAGAGCAGTTAAATTTTGAGATTTATAACAACAAATCTGATAAGGTTTAGAAAATATCTGTGAACTTGACCACATCAAAAATATTAACTTCTTTTTCTTCTGACAATTGTAATGAACTCAGATATGATGAATGTGGAGCGTATTTATGTCACTTCCACGTCATACAGCGTTGATAAATGGGAGCTAAAGCATCATATTTATCCAACTGTTTATCGAGCAAGAAATACAATCATGAATAATTGAAAATCAATTAGTGGTTAGTTAACTAGACGTCTTGCTACTCTAATAAACGTACAGCAAAATAAACAGCAGAAGCATAGTTATAAGATGTATATTTAATACAGCGTAAAACGCCTCATAAAGCTGGAATGGACATTCTACCATTTGATGTGGATCGTAACAGTTTACAGAAGTGAAACCATATACAAAAAACAGAAATAAATTATACACCAGGTCACGCGGAAGAAAACCTAACGCCTTGACGCACGACCAGCTGATCTTGAACGGCGACGTCGACTCTTGGACGGTGAATGAGAACGTGATCGACGTCTTCTCCCATAACGTTTCTTGCTCCGATTGTACAATTTACGACAAAGTTCTCTGGAAATGGGTTTCAAATGCATGAAGTTGCAGAAGCCACCCCTTGTACATTCCCTGGAAGAAATTGAGACGGAAACACAACCTTATGATTAGTAATTTGATTCCGCAAAATACACAATCCAAGTGCAAACATAGATAGAAAGGGTCATGATGTGGACAATGTTACTAACTTCTAATCAAATAAATCATCCCACATTATTTGTGATCGTCCAAATAAAAATTGTCATTCACGTTGGTGTTAGTTAGTTATGATCAGCATGGAACGTCAAGACAATTGCACCAGCTAGTTATTGCTGCCCCCGAATGCCCTGGCACGGCAGAGAGTGGGGAGAGTCCGTTCTCCCTCTCGAAATGCTCTCACATAGTCACGCGTATATAGCCTCTGCCAGGGAAGCCCTACTCATTGACTTCTCGTGGCGGGGTGTTGTTTACCAAATTGAGAGGACGAAAAGCGAATGTCCGGCACTCTAACCGGGTTGGTGGACATGGAGAGTTCACCTAGGGAAGTTGGCAAACCCTGATTCCAAACCAATGGTGCACATGGGCTCCAGTATCCTGAAGGAACAAATGGCGTATGAACCAATCGTTGGTCACCAGCTACCATGGGACTGCATCTCCTTACGATGCTCCACTGACTTGTGGATCAGACCTTCAGGTCGAAGGCTCCGGGTGTGGTCCCCTAAGAAAACCACCTGCCTCGGTTTGAGCACCCGGGCAGTATCACAGCCCTCACACATATCAAATGAGATTTGTGTGGCGCATATGTATTTGGTGTCTCCTTGTACCAATATCTATGTGTTAGAATAAATAAATAAAGTTATTGCTAACATGCAATGAGAATTTTGTAGATCAAACACGACTTAAACAATTTCTAGCCAGATGAAGACAGTTGCTATAAAAAAGGCAACTAGACCCAACCTTTTACGTTTAATCAAAAGAATCATAGTAAGTCAAAAACGACTACAGCCTGTGAACCACATGAAAAACATAAGTATAACTACCGGTTAAATCGACTTGAATAAAATGCACTGAACATCATTATTCAGTTAGTTAGCTACAACGTAGGACCAGGCACATATATGCATCGGTTAAAGTTGCCATACCGCATTATCACAGCAAGATGAACACCGGATTTATAGGAGTGGTTAAGTCAGTGGTGGTAATATATAAAAGAAAGACTGTATGTAAGGATATAGTACAGGAAGAACGAATTAGTTCGTAGAAAGAAAGATATGAAGCGACTTTAATCTCTTAGTTTAAGGGAAGACAGAGAGTGTATACACCGACGACATTGTGATCGATTCTTAGTCATGTCACCCAGAGTCTCCAACTATTGGTTAAGATAGTCACGCGGACCCCAACCAAGTAGTCTGCATCTACCAACATGACTCAGACTAGAAGTTAATGACTTCAAGCACTGATGCCACGTTTTGGTTTGGCCGCCCCTAACTTTCTTCCAACTATCTCCTACACCGGATAGCATTGCACGTCGTGGTAGTCGGTGTTCAGGCATACGTAACACGTGGCCCAACCATCTCAGTCGATGAAGATTCATAACCTCATCAACTGATTTACCATCATTCCCTAATACCCTGCGTCTAAACTCACTATTACTTACCCAGCGATCCCAGCAGATGCCAGCAATATTTCTAAGACATCTGTGGTCAAATACTAGTAGCTTACGAGTGTCTTCTACTCTTAAAGGCCATGTTTCGCTGCCGTAAAGTAAAACAGAACGGACTGCCGCGCAGTATACTCGTCCTTTTATTGATAGACGGATATCTCGCCTTCGCCATAGGTGACGTAAGTTGGCAAAAGCCAAGCGAGCTTTTCGAATCCGTGCTGAGATATCGTCAGACACCAACCCATCAGGACGCCGATAAGTATGCCTGTGTTCTAGAACCTGACGAATGGTGAGTATGTGGTCGATGCAGCCACGACCGATTCTGAAGCCAGCTTGATTCTCTCGTGTTCACAGTTCACGAGTCTTAGTTAGGCGTCCGATAATTATCGAGGCTAGTATTTTAGATACTATATTAGTTAAGCCAATCCCTCTATGGTTGTCACAGGATGATTTTGACCCTTTCTTGTATATTGGGACGATAAGTGACTGTGACCAGTCAAACGGGTTAACGTCCAACTCCCAAATTTTAACTAAAATGTTAATCAACCTAATCGCTGAAATTGGACCACCATCCTTAAAGACCTCTGAAGCCAATCCATCTGGACGAGCTGCCCTTCCTTTCATTACTGACGAGAACTCATATCAATCATACGCAACGTAAATATGGTACATTTAAACATCAGTTCAAGTTGCCACAAGAACTCATGACAAATGTGTAACACCCTGAAATCACATCGAACTGACATCCATGTAAGACTGAAGATTAAATGACTATTAACAGTACTGCATAGCATATTGACAAAATTACATAAAAACTCACCCCAGTTCATACTGACGACAACATGCTTCACGAAAATCTGTGACAGGAGAAAGCTCAGCATGAACTGGTCTTCCACCAAACCAGCGTTCATTTAAATCCTGAACAGCTTTTTCAGCATCTTCTTCACGCCTGAACTAGAAACGTGTTAGAAGTATTACAACGAGCTTACTTTTATATAAACGTTTCCAACTAGATGATCACCAAGATTATCACACACATTCATTTCCTCTATTTCCCCATACTAAAAGAGAAGAACTTATCACACAAAAATTTACCTTCTCTTCACATTCAACAAAGACCTCCTCGAAAAATTCGTCGAAGATTTGCTGAGCTTGGACTTCCGTAAGGTTGACTTTTAAGGAATAAAAAAATGTTTTCATCAATAATTCAGGAAGAATTGTTATCCAACTTGTGGAACTTAAATCAGTAAACCAGTGACTGGCATGGCTGAAACGACCATTGTCAAGACATCTACAAAGCTCTATGGTTGCTTATAGCTGAGTGCATTGTTTTGGTCCTGGTAGTCAACGCATTTAACGATCACTGGATTTCAGCCAACCAGTAGGACAGAGAACTTAAAAACAAGTTGTCTTTAAAACACCCAACTTATATACACACACCCCCAGTAATTTGTAAACAACCTGATCAAAATCTACCGTTTCTAGGGAGATGCCTGAATACCAGCTGTAAAAATACCTTAAACGATTGATATGATTTAATTGCATAGTTTATATTTTATCTAGGTGTAAAAATCCTGTTAGAGTGATCCATACTTAGTTATTGGATATGGGTGCTTATTCAGTACTAAATACTGACAACTGAAACACCTGTGCAGCTCTTACGATTGTTGCGTTCATCCCGAAGATTCCGCTAGGAACTAAATCTTACCTAAAACATTCACTATTGCATTTACTGTAGTTGTTGCAAACGTACTTGAGCAAATCTTCTGAAGCTCTGGTTTAAGTCAGTTGTTTTTATTTGCATTACTGTTAATTAGGAGGCAGCCTTTTCAACTAGTTAAGAAAAATATACTTATAGATGGACGGATGCAGAACCATTGTAAACTTTAGATGTGAATCTGTCAAATCCCAAATGCCACTAAGTACAAAAGTCAACTATTCTTACTACTACCAATAAACCTGCGCAGATTTATCAAAGTTATCCGAATTAACAATTTAAACGGTTGCTATATTTACACGCTGGATGACTAAGCGTACTGTTACTGTGGTAACTACTGGCACAAGGTGTAAGATGGAGTATGGAAGGTGATCGGTCATTATACGTACATCCAAGGGATGACAACCGAATTCCTGTTTATACTAATGTAAATAGTTTTGGGAACTGGATAACATAGATCATATCGCTGCTGTTTACATATGGTAAAATAAATCAGCTTACGGCAAACGAAGAGTAATACGCCAAGAACTCATGTCACTCACCAATACGTTTAAGGAGTGATGTATTTCATCGTAGGATGCTTTCTTGGTTAAGACCACGTGCATAATTTGTGAACCGTACTTCTATAGACATTGAGACAACTTGTTCTACGGATGATTTAAGACATTATTGCAACAGCCCTCAAATGCTAACAAGCCAGTTTTGTACACCAACATAACACGATGTCAGCATAGTCTTGTTTTACCAACGAGGGAGAATATCCACTAACCATAAAAGCGAGAGTACTTCAGACTGCAAATAAACCCTTCAGAGATTTTACTTTACTGCTACACTAAACACGGTAAAAATAAGTTATCTACAAGGGACTTGACACGTATGGTTACTGATTAGACACCTAATCAACAAACAGATTTTTAGTGAAACACAAGTGTACTTACAGACATTCCTGACAAATGATCAGCACTGGCCTACTTGGTCTTATCGGTCATCCGCACTGACGTTAAAGTTGATTAAGCGGTCCAAAAGTGTACCTAAAAATTGTCATTCCTGCTCATCTTTCTGATCTAATACCCATCTGTTTATTCTACGTCTAAATGCTAGTGCAGAAAAATATTTACTGGAAGACATACCTAAATATCACACTAGTCGTGCCTAAATACAACCAGATCTTTTTTAAAATATATAACCAAAAAACACTATATAGCTTACTGTGAGATCCATCAGCACTCTGAGCTGTATTTTGAGGAGCTATATACAGGTTTTGTAGCAAAATAGTCTATGCATAAAAAAGTTGAAAACCTATTGTACCTGACCGAAAGACGGTTTGTTATGTAGTCTTGAACATTGCTCTCCGTGGCGGCATGCACCGATTTTGAAGTAGAACGAACAATTTACTCTGCATCAACAAATAATTTGAAAAGGGGTTCCTACTTATCCTTTTCCGTACCAAATATCGACGCCAAATACTCCGCCATGTTCACGAGGATCAAATTGCGCCTCTTTCCCGAACGGAATAAAACAATAAACCCGCGAGATCAGAACTACGTCTTTAAGTTCATGTACTAAAATGGAGATCGCTTTACTTCTTGTGATGGAACATATATGACATCCTTATAGTAAGAGTCTTATTCCTGTTTCTTTCTCTTCTAACATAAATACTTTTGTTGCGAGCTTGTTTAAACCGACTAATTTCTTTGAGTTCTTTTCATGTTGTTTCGCTGCTGTCCCAGGTCTCTAAAAATGTTTAATATCAGGTAGTCTAGCCACTCGGCTTTACCAGTTCAGGTCATCTCTGTATTGAGTTTTTGTGTAATCTGATCTGAATGAGTCAGTTTGTATCATGGCATCAAAGTTTATGTGACCTTAGCATTCACACTACCAGGCAGAAGTTTAGTTGATTGAAATGTGAAAACTAATCAAGGGAGAATTTCAATTTCAATGAGAGACGACTTCCTCAGAAATAGTGACTAATCTTGATGAAAACATGTAGAGGCTTATTCATGTTTTTGCTCTTTGATGTGCGATTTCATAGGGTTGCCTCGCCGAGCGTGGTTGTGTCCTTGATAACGCATTTTAGCTTACCAACCATATTGTGTAGTTATCAGATCACCCCTAATCCTCTTAGACAGATTTATTTCTAAGCTCCATCAACAACATATTTACTCGTCTCCGCATGTGGTCTGAAATATTTCTTTTTTTTGAAAAGGAGGCTAAACGACTTAATTTACTTCGAGATGAGGCCTTGACTATGTTTTAAACAGCGTCAAAAACAATTCTGGAGTGATTTTGTCCACCTATCTTTAATAAAGTGAAGAGTAGGGTTGTTACAGCTGAAAGATAACATACTTTCAGATGATTTCTGTGCTTTCTATGATTAATCGTCCTAGACTGCACTCTGAGGAGAAGAAAGCCAGTGGATTTTCATAGAGGGTGTAAGTCGTTCCTGTCCTACGGGAATGAACATTCGCGACTTTACATTTTGATAGGTTAAGTGGTAATCCGTTGTCCTCTGCTTATCTTCCCGTTGTTGTGAGGTCACTTAAAAGCTCAAGTGGATCTTTTCAGTTTCTTATGTAACTCCATATCTTGGCATCTCCAGGATACATGAGAGTCGGTGGGTTAATGTCGCCTAGTTGATCGCTGATGAAAATCAAGGAGAGTAGATGATCCAAAATAGTTCCTTGTGAGACTCCTGATATTAAATTGTGCGGAAAGTTCGGTTCTACAAGTGGTGTTGAGGTCAATGTAGAAGTGAATTAGCGAAACACCTCTTCGTGTGCCTTGTTATAAGGAATCCGTTCGGCATTATGCCAAACGCTGTTGAGAAGTCAAGAGGTGTTACGGACCGATATCGTTTGGTCCCAGAAGGTTGTCTGGTCGTGCCATGTTAAGTGAAGATTAGACACACGGGTCCTAGCTTATCTAAACCCATCTCGGCCTTCATAAAGAACGCTTTTATTGTCTTCGCATTCACTACCTTGACCACTGGACGATCTTTTCACTAATCTCGACATTATTGCGAATAATGTGACTGGTGTGTAGCAGGTTGAGCTTCTCCTATCACCTCTTTAGGAGATTTTAGAGAATAACCTGTGAATTTCGTAGATACAAGGCTTTAGTTTGGTACTGATTCACTGAACTCACTTCAGACAAAATATTATCTTCGGGAGAAATACTGTTGTACTCTGGACGTCAAGATACATTACATACACAAGAATTTGCAATAATGCTGTCCAGGGAAAACGGACACACTTTTATGAGATGAAAACCTCATAGATCTAGAGTGATAGAAGCATTCTTCAAAACAATGAGTGAGGAAATTACGATGAATGTTATCCTGAACTATGCACCCACCAATAATAGCAGTGAAGACGATAATGACCAATTTCATGAGAGACTGCAGTCGATAGTGAAGAATTGCTCAATAAATGAGCTGACAACCCTATCAGGAGAGCTAAACGCGAACGTCAGAATGGATAACACCAGATAAAAAGACGTTGTAACGACCGAAGTACCAATATTCGGTTTGAACGCAGAACTAACGAACCAAAGATTATTCGATTAGGCCAAACCATGTTCTTCCGTACAGCATATGAAGTTCTTTTCAGCAAATCGCATTAAACCATACAAAAACGCAAGCTGCGTTAAATGTAAACAGTTCTAAGTTATGAAGCTAAATGATATCAAAGGTACAAAATACTTCAAACGGTACAGCTTGTGTTATGCTGTCAAGTGCTTCTCCAGCACAAACTAACGTTCTAAACAAAAGAAAGAATTATTAAACAAGAATTCGATACCTAAGTATCAATAAAATTATTCCCAACAAAATGAGATCAGATATCTATCTGCAGGGATCCCAGCAACAATCAGAGGTAGATAGTCGTGCACTGAACCACGCCGTGACATTTAGTTTGGTCAAACACGACCTTACTGTAAATGGTATGGCAATATTCAACAGTAAATCGATTAATAAAAGGCGAATCTATAACGAAGATCACTTAACAAATTCTCGGCAAGGAAGACTGAATAACTTAATGTGTGGTTAAAAAGAGATGCTGGTAAATGCTGAAATACAAAACAAAAATTAAGTGACAATACTGTCCAGTGAAGTGAATTAGAGGGATTTTCTGCGTTTTCTTTCCGTTGCGGATATCATGGGACAACATGGACATAGAGAAAAGAATGAGAATGGTGAGGATATTATGAATTTATGTGCCTTGAGCAAAACGGTTACATGTGTCATTACATTCCACCGGCAACCACACATAGTTACATGAGTTTCGCTGGATTACATTACTGGGAGCCAAATTGATCAAATTTATATCAACCGAAATCGGGAAGGCCAGTAGAAGACGTGAAAACCAAGGGTAGAGGTGACAAACACTGAGCATCTAAAGAATCGGCGTTACAAAAGTTTGGTACAAACGTTTTTTAGATACCGAGAAACACTAAAACAGCAGCAGGTTCCAAGCCTTACAGAATCTACTGAAAGAAGATGAAACTACTATGGAGGACAACTGGAAAGAGATCAAAGAAGCATTAACTTCAACTTGCCAGCAGATGCTGTACCGCATGGGGCACCATCATAAAAATGGATATCTGCTGATTTCCTGAGGAGGATTGAAGAAATAAAGGACAAGAGGACAAAAGTCAAAAATAGCCGAACGAAAGAAAACAAAGGGAGCATTAGAGCTGATAAGCAGAAATATGTCGAATACCTAGCAATGACAATAAAATTGCTGCGTGACAAAAAAATCCAAGTTCACTATATTGAAACGAAGGAGAAGCTGTAGTAGTAAAACAAATGGAACATTAAAGAATAAAGAAGACAAACTAATCACTGAAATTCAAAAAACAGGTGTGTAGAGCGTTTTGAAGAACCTGTAGTGTGGTGTCGAGTCGCAGTTGACTATGATCACCACTACAGGAATACTACGTGCCAGTTAACTGATAATATCCCCCGTAGGTCGACTATCAAAAGGCAGTTTGTGTATTTGTTGGACATCTCGTGGTATCAAAAGAATACCGAAGTCGTGCCAGGTTAAAAGTGTGGTTACTGGGAGTAACCGAATTCGCACAAAGTCACAATCAACGGAAGAAAGAAGAATGTCTTTAGTACAGTTAAACAAACGAGTACGGTAAAACAATCACTGGTACAATTGGTTATAATAATAATTGTTTCCATTAAACCAATCGCGTTCTCTTGATAAAAGTAGGCCGCTAAAAACTCATCGATAGACCAATCCTACTGAATCCATGTGACATCGAGGTAGTACACACAGATCTTCCATAGATGTTACTTCACCAATAATAAAATAAGTTAACATGACCATCTTAAAGATTAAGAGAGGGAAAGCAAAGGGACCAGGAACATATCAGCTTAAGCACTAAGCATCATCGATAAACAAGAGGGACTTGGTGTCGATGTAATAAAAAGGATTGGTAAATCAGGGATAGACGTTTACAGCTCAAGGACATTCGGAATTTTAATCAACTGTCAGCTGCATCAATGTCATAATATTCAACACGAACATAAAAGCGGTTCTATTGTAGAAAACCTTAACTTGGTAGATTACCACATTCATCACCAAACGGTTACTTATTTACGCCTGTTACTCCTTCGGGCACCATCATTAGAAGTGTTTCATATTTATCATCACCACAAACATTGCCGGATAAGATTCATGATTGTTTTTTCTTTGAAATCATCATCTGGGTAATAGGGGAGTGCTCTTGATAGTGTAAATAAACGGTCTTCTCTAATTCATCTGAGGCTTGAAAAGCAAGAATACCGGTTGGTCTCCCGGACTAAGTACAGAAACGGACGACCAAGTGACTGATGGGTCTAAAACATAGATCTTATAAGGACTTACCACAACACCTGGATATATTCTCGTTGAGCTACATAAGAATAAGAGGTGATCTGTTAATGGTATGCAACATACTAAGCACGTCGAGCCACGCAAATAGTAACTATGAGAGGAGACTTGATAAACACGTGCTCACCCACGGATTACCGTCTCTGTATTGGACCAGCCGTGTCTGATACATGTCTCATAAATTAGATTTGTCATCACTGAATATCAGTAACTACTTCTTTTTTCTCTTAGTATCATCTCCGTTTCCCCTTATTTTTTCCACACCGCCTTTTTACATATTATCAATTTAGTAAATTGACTATTTATTTTTGAAACAATCGTCTATATAAGCTGTTGACAAAAATATTGAAAATATTGGGTGGAGAAGTTTGTGAGTGATATAATGCATTACGAATAATCTAACTGAATTTAGTAGAATGAAATGTGTAGATCTGAGTAATGAAATGTCGTCAGGATTTGAATATACCGTCAAGAAACTAATGAAGACAACTGTTCAGTAATTAAAGATTCTAGCTGCTAGAAAAAGACTATAAATATTTTCCATACAGTTCATTATCATGTAGAAGTAAATCCTTTCCTATCACAATCGTCTCACATTTACACAGTAGCTTTGATACATCCAATTAATCTTGATTTGATAAGGGTGCATAAGTTATGTCGTACACGTTCAATTATCTGTTTCATTTGAAGTACAGCTGCAAGTCAAGGTGACACTGCATATGACAAGTCGGTAGATACGTTAGCTGGGATTTGCTGTGGCGCTTGTAATAACTTGTGCTTCGTGCGTCAGCGCAACTTGCAATACTGTTCGACATTCCACGATTCGCTAAATCACTTACATTCCAAAGAAGCATTAAAACATAACCTATAATGTAGCTTGATCTCTTTATATGTATGGTTGTATCGGTTTATACTCCAATCAAATAATTTATTTTAGGACACATATACACTATTTTTCTTGTACACAATTAAACTCACTACAATTAATTAATTCTATGACTCGCAACTGTACTAAATACCTAGTTAAATCCTTTTACAACAAACTACCAGTTATTTTTCATTCTCAAATAATAATGGTAACCTACTTAATTCTCACTTTTGCTTTATCATACGTAATCAGTTGATATATCTGCAACATTATTTTATTGCACCATATCACTTCGTAACTCGTCATTATTGCTGCATGGTCTTTTGGACTAGTTACTTTAAGTGAGCCATTATCGGACTATATTCTGAAGAAGAGCTTTTCCGACCTATTGCCTGTCATTTCCATTCCAAAGAAGTCACAGAAGTAGTCCTTTCCGAATCAATCCTTCTGTTTTTTGTTTGATTACGAGAACTCTAGTTGTCAACTGTACATTGTCTGCACACAAAACAGTTGATACCAAGTGACTGTCTCTGTTAACAATGGATGCAACTGATAACAAAGATATTTTAACCAGATCGTGGATTTTTAGGGTCAGTTCAAATATGCTTCACTCACGCAAAGCCTATCCATTTGAAATTCTATCTAACATCGAATCTGTATAGATTTTGTTTGGGAGACATTAATAAATCACAAGTTATAACACTGCTGTTGATATCACTCTCTTATTTATAAAAAAGCCATATTATATCTCTAATTTTCTAAACATTGATCACAACCGTGATCTTTAAAATGTTAGAATTTACCATTTGATTTAAATTCGTTTTACATTTTAACAAAATATTTAACGTTCCTCTTGTATTAATATACATTTATTTTTATTTTTATGCTGCATGAGTTTAGTAAGTATTTAATTAGTTGCCAGGATTTTATACTTACCCTACCACAGCACTTATATCTGTGTTTTTACTTACGTATTATGGTACGCTACGGTTTCCCAGTTTTGATAAGCTTGGTCTAACCTTATACGGTAAAGCGAATTGGCTTTTTTTTGAAATGGTTTCCGTTTCCCAAGGTTCACAAACTAACCGCGTGGATGTGATTTCATAAGGAAATTGTTACACCCAGGTCTTGGGGCGCAGGTGTCGCACCAGGGGAAAGTATAATCTACATGCACACCGGTAACACATATGTTTTCACCCATTCACCCCTCAGCATAAATATAGAAATATCCACTCACTTGGATGAGTAAATGATCACCACTCCCTTCGAAAGTATATGCCACAACTGACTGTCACTTACACATTACATACATATTACTGGTACAAAGACTGACGCCCTGTACTTCATGACATAAGCGTAAGCACTCTCTCAGGGATGGTTGATAGTCACCTCGCCGTAGTATTTGCTACCATATTTTTTATTGTCTTCAACATGAAGCATTAGGCCGCTGACTTGATTAGACATGAGGCAGACACTACATTCCTTGTGCTAATCCACACAACTACCCTTTTCATATACCTACAAACATAAACTACACAAACCGAAACTCATACAATTCATATACATAAGCATACACATCGGGTAGCCCGCAAGATTTTAGTCAGCCCTAAATTTGGGATCCAGTCGATCCGGTTTACACTAGAGTAGTGGATTAGTTCAATCTCGTCAACCACCCAAATTAGCTAGCAAGGTTGCTCTCACTACCCGGTAACGTCATGCGGAGGCCTTGAGTTGGATTTTGTTGCCATGGATTATGGTACTAAACTTGTTACGCAAACGGAGATTCTGTACAGTCGTGAGCATAGATAACAGGAATATGGCAGTGTTATCAAGAATAGCACTATATTGATGTGTTGAACTAACCATGACTTCTTCATTACTCACCCTATTGATTGGAAACAGAAGCTATGTAGCTTAATATTAAAACAAAACAACAAATGGTATTTTCCGTATTATGACTGTTAAAATTAAATTATGTAACTCAAACTCGCGTTGGATTTATGAAATCCGATTAAAGCGCTGATACGTCACAGGTAACGTGTGCTGACAAATCCCGAAACGGCAATAATAGTTACCATCTAAGAGAGTGCTGCCTGGTTTCGGCGCAAAAATGACTTATAAATGTTAGATACCATGGTAGGTAATGATTTATTAATACCACTAAATAGCATTTTAGAGCCTGTAAACTGACGGGTCGATGAAGGACTTACCATACTAAATTTTTCGTTGGTTCTTCTTGATAGTTACGAATTATGCTTATTTTTGGCGTTTAAAAGTCAAATGGATTAATATTGGATGATGTACATTTTGAGTTTGTCATTACGGGGCTTGTAAAATACAGTTGACGGTCAGGTGATATAAATAATTATTCGTGAAGATAATCATTTTAAGCAGTCATGTAAATCTCCCTGGAACATTGTAGACCTACCTCAGTACTTATGATGGATTACAGCCCATGATCTCGATCATCATTCGGTGTCTAATTTTTAAATACATAAGCACTATCCACTACTGATTATCTTGTAAAAGTTATCTCCCAGCTGAGGGCACATTATGCAGAACTTATGCTTGAAGTCTACCAGATTCCCTGATTGTAAAATCTTAATATTGTTAGATTTCAAACGTCTGACTACTATGTCTAGCTTCATATGAGCAAATGGACTATATTCATCAATATTTTTGGCGGTCAACGTGTAACTAAAGCATACATATCCTGCAATCTTCATAGCAAGCGGTAGAACAAAAGGAAACGAAATCTATATTATCTCGAGATATTCTGTCCATTTCCCGACGTACTACTTGAAAATTACAATCGATACAGGTTATTATTGCATGATTCATTTAAAACATTGAGTGTAGGGTCTATTTCCCCTGAATAAACTGTTTATTTAATCCCAGCCAGCTATATATATATATATATATATATATATATATATATATATATATATATATATATATATATATATATATATATATATATATATATATCCAAAATTCGTTAGAGTACTAGTAACGTTAGTATTATGTTGTGTAGCCAACCGAGTGTGCTACCAGTATAAAAAGTTCTTGAGTTAACTCATTCAATTCACCACTCGAGATAATTTATTACAGAGTTAATCTAAGCAGTCGACTTATTTTAATCGAGAAAAATAACAATATTTGATTTCACACAAAGAATAGCTATTGTTTTTGAGGTAAAACAATCAATTGTGGCTAAGTTTATTTCACTGTCTGTACATTTCGTTTTGTGTGTACAAACAGAAAAAATAAGGGGAAAATAATAGCAGAACGATTGTTTCTGCATCTTGCTTATTAATTATCACTTATTGATAAGAATCAATCCAAGATGTTATATATAGATAGAAGGTAAATACCAATTGATGATAATGATCTAAAGATCTAACAGAAAAAGGGCGATTAGTCATGATATTATGCAGAGTACAAACAGGGTGACGTTGATGATGATGATGATGATCATATTATTGAAAATTACAAGATTTCAGTAATCTACTTCAAAATTACTGATGATTCGTAAGCAAAACGTATATGAATATCAGAAATAATATTGATTAAAATACTGTTAGTAATAACCTGAAAGAATTATAATAAAGTGAATAGACAGAAAGATTCTTTTCAGGTCTCTAGAAAACTTAAACAAACAATATGAATTAAAACTTGAATAATTAAACTTCCACTATACATAATTAAGAAATTATAATAGAAATTATAATGAGATAATTCAATTTGTTTCTACTTAGAATAAGCTGAAAATAAAGTGAGATCAATTTCGTACACAGTTATTAATGATTGGGTGGTAAATAATCGATTTACATGTACCTTCATTTATTGAATGTTCAAACAATGAAATAAATGAACAATATAATCTATCAATCCAAAATTATTTAAAATCAAGGTGGATAATTACACAAAGAATATTGAAAGAAAAAAAAAGAGGATAATAAAATTAAATAAAATCCAAAGGTGGTGGTGGATCTGTAGGCATGGAGATTTCTCTTTTTGGCAACTGATTTAAATCTAAACTTGAAAGACGTATACACATGTCTAGTTCAGTTAAACGCTCCACATCTTCATTGTAATAATCACTTGGATTCTATAGAATAAAACAAAAATTCGTTAAAGAAAAAAAAACGAGATTATTATTTTCAGAAAAAAAGCAAAATGTAACATTTCTTTTGTTTCTTTCTGTCCTTCTTGACATGTGTAAAGAATGCATATGATATATATATGCATAATCAATGTGATATTAGCGTAATGTTAGAAGTAAGTGGAATAAAAAATCTCATTTCATATTATTTGTAACCCATTAGTGAAAGATGATAAGCAATCCAGCTGAACGATTATATATCCACTTCCTAATCTCTAGCGATCTGTTACTCTTGAACACTGTACTGAAAAATAAAGGCTTTTACATTGAAGGTTAATTTATATACAGAAAATAAGGATATTTATAAGACTGTATATGATTAAGAGATTTCAGAAGTCTCTGGAACACATCCTGAAATTCTCATGAAAGTTTCTAAAGTATGCAGATTGATGGAAATATTTTAAACATTTTCCTGCCTTTTGAAAACTTTTCTCGAGAGAATATTGAAGCCTCCTAACAAAAGGAACTTAAATAATAATCTTCTTTAATTGAGAGTAGAATCTACCATCAATAATTGGTTTTCAGAATCGAAATGATTCACTAAAATAACTAAAAGCATCCAACAGGGGTTAAATAATTTCAACTCGACCTCATTGTATAGCAACCATTTTTATAGAAAATCCACCCGCTAACACTAAGAAATTCGAACTTAACGTTACAAGAAACTGTTTAACGATTAACAATATATTTTGACATTTAACAAGTTAGCATAACTGCTGAGATAAATGCATTAACTTCAAACTGTACAACTTAGGCCACCATGAAACATTTCCATACAGAACTCTTTCATAACTGATTGTAATAAAATACCACACAAACATATGACTACGTAACAGTCAAAATGACCATTCAAAATATAATATGATAACTGAATAATATAACAAAACGATGATGTAGAAGTTAACTTGATAGGATTTTAATACGGATTTTTTGGCACTATAATTTCTATTTATGAAAGAAAAAGAGTAGATGCTTACAGAATAAGTGCATCACTAACAATTTAAAGAGCTTGTAAAGATTACCCAACTTTGTAGTTTATATCACAAACTGACCATATTTAGACGACCATTCCTGGTTTCCGGTGATTGTATATGGATAGTTTGTGATATAAACTATAAATCAATTATAGAATAGTTGGATTTCGGCTAGCAGTGGAATCTATCAAGCAAGTTTTGCCCTCTTTAGAATTCTTCAGCTGCATATGTCTTCATCTGTGTTAATATCGAAACCACCACTCGAAACCCCTGTATCCTTTGTTACAAATACCAAATGAATATATTTTATTGGGTATCAATAATTATTGGTCATTCAAAGATTTATTATTGTTAATTACATCAAAACAGAATTAGATTCTATCTAATCAGATTTCAAAAACATTAACTTACATTTAATTTATTTAATAAAAATAATCCATCTAACCAATAATTATATTCAATTATTGATCTGGCTAGTAAAATAACTCGAAAACAACGTGATTTATTACTTGTCGATTCATTGGGATCATCTTGGTTTGGGATATCGGATAATTCCACTTGAAAGAGTAATGTCTAATTCGGATTTTTTAATAAAACAAAAAGACGAACACAAATGAACACTCGGAATAATACTACTTTTTATAATTCAGTAGCACAAGTTTTTATTGTAAATTTAATCATTAAGGTCAACTTGTAAAATATCACTAAGATTCAACATATTTAATCATGACCAGTAGTGAATTAATGTAGAAGAGAACAGTGCAAGAAATCATGAATATTATAGATCGATACAATTATAATTCATCCTGTTGAAATTCGTCAATGTAATATATGTGTTCCTATCTATGGCAATTACTTATTGATGAAATTCAAGTGAATTGTAAATAGAATAACGATAACCCACTAAATATGTTGATATTTTAATAACGCGTTAAAGTACCTCAAATTCATTTATCTCTATTCAAGGTTGTCGTTACATCTCTCCGGAGAAAAAATCACTTCGTAACTTTATTGATAAACAGATCAAATTCCACTTGGTAAAAAATATACTACTATTTTGTCAGATTAATACTTACACGTTCCGGATTTTTTTTCACTTTCTCAGTTATACCCAAAGATACTCGACTAATACAGTTTAGTTGCCCTTTGGATAAAAAAAGAAATAAGTAGTATGATTACGATTGAACTTCTAATTAAATTATTAATAATTACATGGTAGAATATATATACACGAATTAGTTCACATTATATGTTCCACATACTAAGAATATCGATCACAGAGATTGTTCGATATTGAGGTTTAGTGAAAAATATACATTTTACGCAGAAAATTCCGCACGCTTAGTTGCTCACAACCCTACTAACTAGCTTTTAAGTAGTGTAACTATTTCTTGAGAATCCAACATATTCTGAACATGATAGCATTCACCATAAGCGACATAATACGACTCAATATCCAAATAAATCTATTCTTTTTGGAAGATGTACAAAAAGAAATGTTAAAAATGAAATTGTTTCTTAATATCTATATTATCGTTGACTCCTAAACAGCTTTTCGTCATAGTATTTGCTTATATATTTTCCCTGCTGACTCTGGTCTTCTTCCTCTAGTTAGATAAGCAGAGGAACGGAGGAACAGCTTAGAATAGTCCTTTTATTGCGTTGCTGGTTTATGTTCCGTCCACTGATACCAAGGTGATAACATGATATCTCAAACATAGCTGTTTTACTGGTGTATTTGTTCTAATATAGGTATAGAATTTAGGAACACAGATTCTCATCAATTTTAAATTAAAGATCATGTGACTAGGCTGATCGACCTATTTTGGATTTTCATTACAATTACAATCATATTAGAACTGAAGAAAATAGTGTAAAATATTAACTACACAGTGTCTAAATAAACTGACGATAGTAACTTACATATTTCTCTTATGTTCTGGTTTGTGTCTCTTATAAGAAGCGACTTGCGATCAGGTGACAAGAGTACAGTGAATGATTGATTGTCTGTGTTCATTAAAGAAAAACAAAGCATGTGATTTAATATTAATAAGAAGAACAAATAGACATTGACACCAATGGATTCCTGCTCAGTGGTCTAGAGGTTAAGCGCAAGACCGGTCATGTGTTCGATGCCCGTTTGAGGATTAAGGATGCGCACTGTCGAGGAGTACCGTACTAAAAAAACGGCCGTCCAATGCCTCTGAGTTTTAAATAGTGGTCTGACTGGGACCATTCTGTGATTTCAACTGTTAAAACACTACCATATCCATAAACCACTTGTACCATAAACTTTGTCAAATTTAAAATCCCCAGCATCAGTTGTGAAAAAACGCAACGATTTTCCGTCTAAAAGGCATTCAAAGTTGAAATTCATCAATAACATATTTTAAGCATGTTTTCAATAGTCATCAACAGCCATCCAACTTCAATTCAGAATGTTTTCTACCAGTTCAGTAGATACAATAACTGTTTCAATAGAGATCATACATAAGTTGTATGAATCCTAGTGTACTCGTGTCTTGTTGTGCTTACATTTGAGTTTTCCAATATCCATAGTCATAATAATAATAATAACTTTTAAGCCTTTTATAATATCTCATGAGCACATACAATTGTGATATATAGTTATTCTGTCCAAGGAAATGGAGAATAGTAGGTTAACTGAAATGTTGTCACACTTAATATTAGGTGATCCACACGTTTGATTAGATCACCTTATATGCTAAGTGATATAAATGTTACTTCCGAGCCTATATAACATAACATGATAAGGACTGTTAGAAAACCTAGATAATACTTTTTAAATGTCTACAGATACCCGGAAAAAGACGGAAAGTACTTGCATTGATCGGTTTTGTGAAAACTTCCATAAAGATTTTAGAATCGATGGATTTTGTTACCTATATCTGACTGAATAAATAACAATTTGTTACCAGGTTTAGCACGCTTCTCAGAAGCTTCTACAAACCCAAAGTCATATATTGTGTTATAAATACGCTTGCTTTCTACACATAGACTAACCTTAGAAGTAAAGCTTATTGCAATTTTTATGTCTGTTTTCCTGTTCTAGGTTCAAGTAGTGGCTATTCAAATAGACATATGATCTGTTATATGGTACCTTCTGGGAACTGAGGAACTCTGGATGTCTCGTGCTGGTATGAAACTCTTTTGATGTGCATACCTACCACTCCACTAGGGATCAAATCAGGGACTTTTAGGCCCCAGCATTTACCAGCTTAAATGATTACGTAACCAAATTATGTTTGTGATGAGAAATTCCTAAATGAATTGCTGCTTGGTGCCTACACTTACATGAGTCGAAGTTTTTAAATATAACAATAGTAATTAGTCAAAATAAATTTAGATATCGATATTCTTCCTGTTCAAAAAAGTCACCTAAATACTATCTGGTGGTGAATGTTTACACAATCAAATTATGATCTTTTAAAAACTGTGTATTTGACGCAAACATATAATGCATATAATATTTCGAGATATAGTCCACTGATGTAGCTCATTTATCAAGGACAAATTTTCATAAATAGCTTTGAACTACATAGTTTATATGAAAACTAGAACACTAAGCAGCTAGATAAAATGAAGTACGTAGGATGGAGGTTCAAAACCGCAACCTACTGGTTGAAATCCAAATGCTTCACCTACTACTACTAAACCACTATTACGTTAATACTCTGATGTAATTCTTTAAAATAAGATAAATTATTTTGCTTTCTTCCGTGGTAAAATACCTTTAGAAATCAATACGTATTATTAATCTCGAAGTCAGTTATTCAACATCCATGTGTCAAACTTCGTGTAGTTAAAATAAAGAGAGCAGTTAGAATTATGTATTATTTGTTTTCAAGGTCACATTTATTGATTTAGCGATGAGTACACATTAAGTGCACAGTAAATAGAATGAAATAGCAAAAATATTTGATGGTTGAGTTGCTAATTTACCATATATCATATGAGCAATTTTACTCAAATGCACAAAGATGATTATCTTTATTATTAACACAGATGAGCACACTTCCATGGCCAGATTACTTTTAAGCTTGATGTTAGGTGGTTGAAGGTAGTCTACTGGAAACCCTGAATCTAGGTTTCGTGTTAGTTGACATTGATCAACAAGGTCTACCTGAAATCTCGATACAATAGATGCTCTCTTTAGGATTCCAAACTCAGTCACTAAGTTCCATATTCTATTTTACCACTGTGCCATTTGAGCAGCGAGTGACCTATCATAGGACTGAGATATTTACATTAGATTACTAGTTAGAAGTAAAGAGTTCCATATTCGTCTATAATCTCGAATCTTATCAGTCAAGTTTATATTTAAATATTACATCTTATCAAATTCCCCTTCAGTTGGTTTCAGAACTGAATCCCAGTACAGTGATTTAAAAGTATGGTGATCTCCGCGAGACTTGAATTTTAAACTTGTGTGAAGTTATCGTTCGAGCGACTGAGTTACAAGCTAGGGTGAAACAGCTGTTTCACTCCTGTTAGATTTTCGTTTCTTGAACAAACCCTAACTAATGAAGAAACACACGTTCAGAAGGCTAGGTATGCTAGTGATTTATCATAGAAATATGCATATTTTCAAAGATTTCCATGTTGATTAGTTAATGTATACCAATAAATCATTTCATTACAGAACTGTTTGTCAACTTATTCGAAATATTACTTAATACTGAACTTTCAATCGAAAATCAAAGTGAGGCTTTGGTAGTTCACTGCGTATAAGCGAGTAAATCGCCCGTAGACTCCAGACTTGTATAATCGATAAATTCCAAAACTTCATAATAGATATATCTGAATATTCAATGAATATCTTTAGATTATGATTTATTAATTCAAAGAGATGATCGGGGAAAAATGTCCCATAAATTTATAGCAAGTTCTTGTATCTTATTTATGAATATTGTCAAGGGAGCTGAAGTGCTGATACTATTGATCTTATCCAACCGTGCCAAAGTTCCATTTTTAACTCAATACCATATTTATGGCTCTGATTGTAGCCAGTGTTATATCTGGTGTTTACGGTCCGCAACTTGAATTCAAGGTCAGTGAGAATATTCAGCAAAAGCATGAATGAAATTTATTTTTATTAGTGTTATTCAGAAAGTTATATATAACATTGCTCCTAAACAACCTTCACTGTACTAGTAATTGAAATTTGTTGTAGTTACTGAATAAAACAGATCAGTGTGCAGCCATTCCTTCATTTGTTCTGCTTTGGCAATTTGGACTAGGTAATTACACTGTATTTCGTTCTTAATCTGAACATGGATACTCAAGTCGCGACAAATATATCATATAAGAACTTTGAATTGGAACTACAGAAAATATCTTATACCCAATCAGTTCTAAAATATCCACAATATGAATTGTTCTGTCAAAAAATAGAAATCCAAATATGTTCAGAATTTTATGAGCTTTACAGCAATATACACTCCAAGAAACAGTAAACATTTTATCAATATTCCATTATAAACTCATCATGGAAACGAGTCCAGAATAATTGTATTGTATCGTATAACTGTAGTTGATTCACAGGATGATTGAAATCACTTTCCGATTCCTTGATAAGATTACTTCTTTAACAGAAGAATTCATTTGTTGAGTAAATCAATCCAAGTAGGTGATGATTCGTTTTATGAAGACTATATATGAATAGATGGATACGTGCAAACATCCATACATATATGAATTTTTTTTCTCCAGCAATCATTAACGAGTAGTACGTCACGTTAACACTAACATATGAGTAAAATACATCAAAAATCAATTACCTTTACTACATAATTTCGATCCTTTTGATGGGATATATTCTAAAGGTGCTGAATTTGACAAAATATTTAAACGATTCTCATATACATGTCCTTGATGACGTTTCCTTACATCGTTACGTAATTCTCTAGATGAAAAATAAACAGATTAATGTGTACAAATGGCAAAGTTTCAGAAAAAAAGGAAGATATTATCAATGAAAAACAAATAATTTAGATGCTCTTCTAAACAAAATATGACAAGCTATTCATTTAAAAATAAACAAACCACTAAAATAATTCAATTGAATCGGTTAAGTTTTTGATTGAGATCATGAGTTGATCGATGTTAGACCACTATTGAAAACCTGAAAGCACTAGACAGCCGTTTCGTCCTCAGTAGTGCGCAGCAACGATCTTGCACACGGGATTCAAACCCAAAACCTTCGATATCGCGTGCGAACGCCTAACCTCTAACCTAAAAGTCATTAAACAAAAACAAATCTAATTCACTATAATCATAATAGAAACCGTAGAACGTACAATGAATACAGCAAGATAATGATTTCCTTTCTTTAGTCATCCCAATAATGAACTCACGAAATGAAGAGAATATAACCTAGTCCCACCCCCTTTGAGTATTTACAAGTTTAGCTGCTCTTGTGAAACCAGGTATGTTGGGCGTAAAATAATACAAACACAATCGTATTTCTTGAACATCAGCCATCATGATTAACCAAAGGACAGAACTAAACGATAAGAAGCTCTATTTCGGAGCTTCTAGTTGATACTGCTCACCACGTCGACATAAACCCATCTTTTAAAAGTATCTATAGAACCATAACGAACTTACCCTGTGTATTTAGAATTCAGCCTTTACATATAGCAGAAGCCATAGAAATACACATCAATAAACTGAACCTCTGTATATAGAAAATGCTTGTACAGCCTCTCAATTTACCTTGGCCTTCTATTTAGTTACTATTACTTTTCTTGAAATTTACAAACTTAATTTTTTTAACATTTAATTTCTAATTTTAATCTTAACTTATCTATTTATTAATGAGTTATATTCCGATATGAATAATGAATGGTAACTGTTGGGATATGTTACTGGACTAATACTATACATACATTTCTATCGTATAACTGTTAAGTAACTAAACTATTCATATTCGTGTTCCTCTTATCATAAGTTTCATTTTGACTTATGGACTATTATTATACGATTTACCATTCATGAGTTCTACCTGGTCTATCAATTACTACCCCCCCACACTCACAGCCAATTTTTGGCTGTCTTGTACAAATGTTATTTTCTATTTTATGGTACGATGTAATCTGTTTGGTTGGTATATAAACCCAGTATGTTTGAAATAAATTATTAATATCGCAGAGGCTGGGATTGGTGTTCTAGACTTTACAGACAGGGCTAGGTGGGAAGCAGGACCGATAAGGACTCTAGACTGCTCGTACTTGTTTTATGCGTCATTGGTCCGGTGGCTGGTTCACTGTTCTCTAATTGGCCTTATACATCAATAGGACACAGGGCACAATATGACTATCTAACTATCATTGAACCCATTTTACGAATAGTTTATTATTACTCTTACACATAACACAAAAAATCACTTATATCTCAAATTTACATACTTACGCTTCAGTAACTAGTTGTGATAACTAAGCGATCACGAAAATTCATCTTAATTTTCCAGACGTTGTTTTACTAACAAATTATTATATCATTAAATCGATCCAACACTATTTACTTGGCATTGATTTCATATTTAATTGTAAAAGCTATATATATTATTATTTTTATTATTATTATCAGCTTTATTCAATATTATATTTTTGGTACAATATAGAATTCTCAGCGTAAAGTATTTCAACAAGTTTACGTTTCTTTCTTCTTCGTCGGTCCTGGCGATAAATATTGAGTGATCGCCAGTTAGATGCTAGCAGTTCACTAAATGAACATCTGAATAATATGCACTCTTTTGGTTGTATATTGCCAGCAACCACATTGTCTCTTATTGAGTTGTTTGTAACTTTGACAACGAAAGGTTGTACACTTTTCAGAAACGCAGCAGAATAGCCATGAAGAACTCATTGAAAAGAAATCTTGCTTAGCTCAGCTTGTCTTTTTAATGTTTTAATGGGAATATTTGATGAACTGAAATCAGAGTTTTTGATGGTGAATTTATAAAACGTTCGCTAAGCAAACCTTATTACTGACCGCACATGGCGATCAACAAACAATCAGGCGCCTAGTGAATACACTGAATATGGTCAAGAAGATCTTGTCAATGCTGAAGACTATGACATAGGTAAGTATAAAGTGATCGATTTAGTTCGTCAGAACGCTGACATTTGACATTAATCGAATGAATAGATAATTAGAACTGAACATCGATTCATTGGAATCAGACAACCAAGTTCAACTTCAAACACCGGAAACGTTTAGTTGAATGAGTCGTATAGATGTATCTGGGGCGTTCATTGTATTATCGGATCAAAGTTAATAGAGCGGTAATCAACCTTGTAATCTAATAGCTGTGAGTTGTCTAATTAAACAACTCGACCACATATTTAGTGCTAAGACTAGCGACTATATTGCAACATGATCGGTAGAATTTGATCAGCCATGACTCTGCTGCCCTCAGTGATCGTTCAAGGGCGAAAACATTTTTTACAGAATGTTGGCCACAACTTATCAAATTAAGAAACCCGGTGATGCGGGTATGAGTACCATAAGGAGTATCAGTTCCCTTACAATAGAAGGTACGCCTCTACTGATGAGTGCTAACTAGCACGAAACCCGATTTTTCCTCTAAACTAACTGCAACCAACCCATTTTAAATATTCTTGCAGTTCTAATTCAAGACCCACAAGGAACTAATTTCACCGAAAATTAAAATAAGAGACCACACAATTGAGTAATAAATATCGATTTTCCCCAAATAATGATAACGATGATGTTAAAGATAGTTAATTACTGATTGAAAATGCTTTTTTCTGTCATGATTAATGTGTAAGTATGAACAAATCAGACAACTGAAATAATGAGGGATTCAAAGTAAACATAGAATGGTATAAGTCGAATTTCACGATTTTGTCATGTGGTTAGTTTTAAAACGATAAATATCTGTAACGATGATTCGTTTTATAACATCCCTTTTTCTTCGATACTTGTTCATGTACGTATTTTAAACCGTCATCATTCTTTATACACTTTAGTAGGTCATAATAATGTAAGTTTGTGACTGAGGCAAGTCGGCAGAAATTTTTGAAACTTAGTCTCAATGCTAGTTGGGATTCACCAAAATGAGATATATTTTCAGTAAAAGAGTGGACATGTGCTCCCTATGAGACTCGAACCCGTTAAAACAAGTGTGCTATAACCAGAGATATTACCAATAAGGTATTTAATCTATTATCAATCACTTGTAAGACTAAAATGCTTGCTCTAGTTCCTTAGTCTTGATAGAACTCTATTGATGTAGTTGTGAAGTGATTGCTAGTCTAATTATGGCTAGATGTAGTAAGGATTACACGTTTTGATGAAAGTTAGTGGTTGGAAGCAAATGGTAGGAAGTTCTGCACTTGTGATTATAATAATAACGTCAAATAATTTCTCCGGAAAAAATCTATATGAAAATAATTAATCCAGAGTATTTCACACTAAGCGTATAACGTTTATGCTCAATGTGATGTATTAATCAATAAATATGTTTTTGATAGGTAATCCAACGAACAAAGTAACAGTTTTACAAATGTGCAGTTCTTTTAAAACAAAGAAAAGTAAATGAGACCAATGTGTTATACTCTTTTTATTTAGTAATAACAAAATAACTTATATAAATGTTATGTATTCTATATATGGAAGTACGACTAAAGTGTTCTGTTAGTATGTGTAGGTGAGCATGATTAATAGCAGTTGAATTTATATCTCTTAGTAAATGAATTAACATACGACAAACTGAAGTCGGACATGAAAGCTACTGGCGTAATAACAAACGTCGAACACGATGTTATTGACCTAGTTAAACCGGGACACATTATTTCACATTCCTCACTTCATTCGACTTTCAAACTCGTGTATGTTATATTCTCATGAAATATCGGCATCACTGAATGAATGCCATGCTTCCTACTTCGTTGACTCGATAGATTAGAACTGCTTTACAATCAAACATCCCGATATTCATCAAGGAACTTAGTCATTCAGTTAAGTATGCAACTGTGGAATTATCAGGCTATTCTTTGCAGGTTAAAAAAATTAATTTTGAAGGGTTCGTCAAGAAAAAGAGGTATTCAATGGGTTGTCGAATCAGAAATACATGGACTGCATGATCTGTAGAGACCACTTGTACATTTGGAACATAATAAAAACCTAATGAAATTTGCGATCCTACCACGAGTGGCATCTCAGATTTATACAAGTCCTTTTGTGAACGAACATAAAATATGTATGTGACTGTTGCACGGCTCACTGTAATAATATTGGTCATGCTGTATACATCCATATATAATTGATTATCACCTTTCATCTATGTACATTTTCTGCATGCATATCTATATTTCTATATATCATGATAAACGTGTAGTTCCATGTAAACAGTGTTATAAAACGTATTGAAGTATGATTTTACAGACACATTCCGTGTTTGGGTTTTAAGTACCACCATTTTATAAATGAGGCCAGCCGAAGTACTATGTACACCAAGTTGATAGGGTCAGTATTTCACTTGTCGTCATCAATATTATCAAGAATCGAGTCAAAAGGTGATAACAAATTTCTACTGATGAGTATTATTAGTAAACTCTTACAATACCAAAAAATCCAATTTATAAACTCACAATTTTAATCAACCAATAATCAAACAACTAAAACACGAAACTTACATTAATGCCGGGTGATTATGTAACATATCTACACGTAGACGATTCTCCCGTTTCGACCACATAGATGGTACATCATATGGATTAAATTTTATCAGAGAATTTTCAAATTCTTCAAGTGAAATAGGAATGGTTTTCAAAATACGATTTATCTGCTCTCGTACCACGCATAAAATCTATTTGACCAAAATAAAACGACACGGTTGGTGAAATGAAAAGTTCAATAAAATAAGAAAGTAAAAGGAGAGAGAGAGGAAGACTATACATAAGTTTTATGATTATGTGATGCAAAAAAATGTAGCGATAACAACAACAGCAGCAAAGTAAACAGGCTGTAAACACGTAATTAGAAAAAACAGAATTTGTAGAAAAGAAAAGTAACGATTACAAGGTATTAAAGAGAGTCTACATGATTAATATTTAGGTTAGGGTTCAGGTCCATCAGGATGTTACTGCTGTGTCAGGATGGGCATACAGGAAAAGCCGACTATCGGAACGATCCTACCTAACAATTATCAAAATTATAATTCGACAAGTTAACTTCTGTTTGTAATAAATCTAGATGTGTAATGTACACTAAAGAAAATCGAATACAAAGTGATAATTAGGGTTATGTACTTTATAGAATCAAAATTCCAGTAGAATATCAAAAAATATTTTCAAAATTAAAAGTATTAAACAAAAAACGACTGAATAACCGAAAAAATGTGAAAGCCGGAATGATAACACTAGTTTATTGAACGTTCTGTTCCTTTATTTATAATATTATTTATTATTATGAGGTGTTTTTGTAGAGTTTGTTGAGTTTCCAGTGGATGCCGATTCACTGATCTAAAGGTTTAGCACTCATTGTAAAACCTGAAGGTTATGGGTTCGAATTTAAGTGGGTTCGTTGATTCGCACTGCTGAGGAGTTCAATACTGGTATGAAACAGCTGTTCAGTTTATAGTTCGAAATGTCTGTCTCACTAAAGTCAATCGGTGATGCAAACTGCTGAACAGCATTCAGTTCAGATAAATAAATAGGTGTCATCAGTTAAAAATGTTTTATTTTTATATAACTTTGACGATTTTTATAATAAATCTTTATTGCAACATTGTATGAAGGTTTGGATTGACCAACGAGAAAGAAGTTTAATTAAATGATTAATAGTTGCTGAAGTAAATGTTCAAGAGCGTCTATCCCCTACTAAAAACTATTAATAAAGAAATCAGTCTAACTTTATTTGAGTGGTAAAGCAATATTCATACGTGAACTTTAGATCTTATACACAAAATTATTGTACTCTCCACAGAAGGATTGGAGAAAGAATATTATAATATATAATAATTGACTAAACAACAATTGAAGCAATGATCAATTATCTCTGAAAGTACTCGATACAATCAGATGGAAATCAAAAACAGATTAAATGAATGAATTACAACACATATCACATATAGGGTTTTGTAACAAAATAGGATTATTTGAGGAGACTACACATCTTTATTGTTTGACTGGATGATTGAATAGTATAATCTAAATGACAATGGACTGATAGTAAATGATTGATAACAATTATAATAAGGAAATCCTAGTTACAAATTAACAAGAACGAGATGGAAAGTCCTAGGTTAGAGTCCCTCGTGAGGAATCGTAGATTCGCATTATTGAGGAGCTCCATGATAAGACGAAACAGACGACCAGTGTTTTTAGGTTTTCGATGGTAGTCTAATATTAATCGACTCATGATCTCCATTAAAAATCAATAATCTTCACAATCCTATGCTGAACAAAGGACGATTTTGGTATAATGTTTTTTGCTTTTTAGATCAGAAAAATTGTCATATAATCCTTAGGATAAAAATGCAACAGAACGTTGTCACTTCTAAAAACTAGTTCATTGAATAAAGTTTTTAAACAAATAAATAAATTCCACAAATGTTGCTGCACAATTATTAAATGTGGTTTGCATGCAAAAATGGAGTCAAAAGAGAGTAATAACGATTAACTATAGATAGACAAGAAGCACAGATCGAATTTACACAATCTAGTTATTTTCATTTCATTTCTTCCCATATACATAACACATTACATTACAATATGAAGTGAATAATACATTGTTAAGCCTTTTGAAAACCGTAAAAGTTACAGATGATTGATTAATGAATAACGATTAAAACATATCATATTTGTTTAGTCTTTAGTATTGATCGAATTCTATAGAGCAAGATTGTAGGCAAGCGGCTTCGGCTCCAACAGCAATAATCAATTCCCTGTAGACTCCAGGCAGGTTTTAGTTGACGAGTGTTAACCGGCACGAAACTTAAGTAAGGTGGGGTTTTCTACCAACTACCTCTGACCACATAGTACTTCCATAAAGTATTACAAACTAGATAAAGGTATGCTTTCGACCATAAATTTGAAGGGTTTGTTATTATTGAATTTAGAATCAATAGATTGATGGAAATATCATTAATATACTGCTTATTCTAGGAAAAACATTAAATCTTGGTGATCTATAGTTTATAATCTATTCAATCACTTTAATTAAATATCTTAAGTTCCTAAATAACCTATAGCAAGATGTGATGAATCAAGAATCCGTTGCTGATTGAAGTTATGCAAAGGCTATTAACTAATTCGAGTCACAATTAAAACTTATGTTAGGTGACTGGATATGGTATACAGAGAACACCGATTGAACTAGGTTTCTCGCTATTTGGCACTGGCTAGCAAGGCATAACTGAAATCTTGAGGGAAATGATGAGGCTCCAAATACTATAAGAATGATCAGTTCTCTCGAGACTGTAGGTAGGCTTTCGTTGATGAATGCCAAGGTACCTAAGACCTGGGTCAAGTAGAGTTTCCTGTTGATTACTTTCAACCACTAAACATCAAAACATAGTGCAAGCAATGGTGAGTCCCTTAGGCTAGTAGCCATACTGTAACTTGATTGATAAACACTATGTGAGCCAAAAAGGATTAAACAAACACGATACGAGTCACAAACCAGAGATCAATCAATATTATTTAAACTATACTATTCGAAATCAAACATTATTAATTCATCAACTGTACCGATTATGAAATATTTATTTTTAAACCAAAATTTCATTTCGCTAGATGTATCTATGCATAATTGACCACACGTGCTCCCTTTATGATAAGTTGTTGTGTACTGAACATAAAACGACTTATTTTGTTGATAGGATACAATGCAAGAGCTTATGAAGGTCATGTTTCTAAATGGAATTGAGGGAACAGAAACTCCTCGTCATATTTAATAAGCCTAAATAGTTGAACAAAAGCTACTTAAAACTATAGACAATATTTTTCCACCTCTAAACCATTGATGAATAGAGTTTATAACTGAAACCGAACGATCTTTCCATTTGTGTTAAGCCGACTATAAACAAGTTGATATAGTCAAAATATCAATATAAGTGATGTTCAATCATTTAGAGTAATCCACAGGCACAACATATAAGTCAACATTTAATTGCTAATTTGCCCTATGCCTAAATAACATGAACTATGTATCTTTCAAATGAAAAACGAGAAGCAATTCAACCATTTTTTTAAAGGACATACCTGTTTGTGATAGAAAGTAAATGTGAGAAAACTCGGGAAAAAAAATTAAAAATGTAGAAATACTTTTTCAACTGGTATATTTTTCTAAGTTTCCAAAGCTCTATGCTCGCTTTTAATCGCATAAATAACCATTTGATTTCTATATTTAGACGGACATCTTTTTTATTTGTTTAGAATTCAAAAATCGTAGAGCTGTAGATTTCTAGAAGTTATCTGGGACGTCAACAAGTTATTAGTACCCAAATATTACAAATACATTATTTATTTATGAATCAATGCATGGTCTAAAAGTTGATTCATCTTACTGTAAGTCAGTTGGTCTTACGATGGTAGAATTGATATTCAAATGAGTTTATTTGAGTAAATCCTTCTTTTCATTGTGCTAACTTATTGATGAACTGAATTAGTTAATTAATGTTACCTGTCAAAATATTAATGTCGAAAAAATCAAGATACGTATGATATGTATATATTAAGAGGAAACGGGAAAATATCTAGCCTCTAATAATGAATGTCACTACCATTTAACGGCGTAGTTTGATCTTCTCTTTAAGGCAATTAATCTTAAGGAAATTTCCTTCCAATGGGAAATTAAACGCTTTTAGCTCAATTAATTATTCATTTTAATACCCTTATTGCTTCCTAGAAAATTCTTATTGATAGTGACATAAGCATTGACCCAATTAACGAAGTTAGTGGTTATATCAACTTGGAAGCTCATCGGATAATACACTGAATTTTAAAACGAAAGGAAGTTATTTTAAATCCAAACGTGGACGTATAAACATTTAAGACAATGCACATCTGCGCCAGGCTCCATGTTGATGATGACTGGATGAAACCAAATACAAATGATCTAAAAAAGACCCTTATTATGTGATGAAGAAATATTTTCAAAGGCCAGGAATGAACAGGAACCTATCTTCAGGTCAGGGTAATTTCGCACTTAAAATATAGATATTATGACGGCCTTGTTGAAAAGTTTCTTTGTTCTTAGAATTCTCTACGGTGTCCTAAAAATCTAATATCATACAAGGTCATTGGCACTGATAGTAATAATAACAAAAATAATAGTAACACTATTAATTGTGCACCTGATTCACGTGTGTAGTCTATACCGCTCTCTCTCTCTCTCTCTCTCTCTCTCTATATATATATATATATATATATATATATATATATATATATATATATATATATAATCTGTATGCGATTATCATTTGGACTTCAGTTGTCCACCCTAAAAAAAGGAGAATTAATGCCTTTAAATCCCAAGCGTTGTATATTAGGAACGTATGTTTCAATATATCTTACAGTATATCATAACTAAACGTTTATATTAAAGCAAAAAGATTAAAATACAATAACTATGTTCTGAAATTCCACCGTTCTGTTTTTCTTCGGAGAGAAAAATCCAAAAATTTCTTAGAAAAACAAATAAATGATAATAACTTACGTTCACCTACTTTGTTTATTATCTAATCTCGAATAAACGTGTTTAGCATCAATTTACAAGCAAAATCAAAAGTCACCATATTTAAACTAGTTACCCATCGTACTTTGATTACTGTTTTTGTCTCTCAGATAAATTCACATGTCTAGATGTATTATGTCTGTACACAATGTCAACAAGAGTATGAGAGTGGGTGTAAATAACTCTTTTTATAACTTAGATCGCAGATCGATTAGCATCGTCTATCACAATACACGCAAACAAATATCCATTAAGATAGATAAACAGACTAACTGAAAATATAGGTAGACATGCTAAATAAAATCTACTCCCATAATTGTTACACCATGCATGTATGAATGGAAACTGAAATGATGTTTATGTTATTCGTCAATTTTATGATGGGATTAAATACTGAGAGTTGATCATATGAGACTCCAAAAACAATCTTAAGGATGATACTGAATATAACCTTGAGAAAAGTATTTTAATGACTTTCATATTTGGCAAATAAGATCTATGAAAATATTTATTGGTATGTATTTCTGTTTCAAAACCGATTCCCTTTCGAAGAGCTATCTAATCCAAAACTAACACTGGTAAATAGTTTACTACACAGACTGATTTACTTTGACAATCATTCAAAATCAGGGAGCAACGGAGAGCTGTTTCGTGCTAGGATGAGACACCACAGCAACGAGCATCTAAAACTCTACTGGGAATCGAGCATAGGATCTTTAGGTCTCGTGGCATATGCTTCTCGGTTCTCAGTCTGTTGTGGATGCGGAGGAATAGACCAATAATTATCATGTTAAGTCCAATGGTGTCCTTGGACTTTAGATGGACATTTCCTATTGGTCGATATATGTTCACTTGTTGGATATTGTACAAAATGTTGTTTTCTATTTTATGGTACGATGTGGTATGCTTGATTGCTATATAAGCAAAGTATGTTTGAAATATAATGATTCATATCTCCGAGGCTGTGGCTTGTGTTCTGGACTCAACTAACTGGGCTAGACAGGGAAGTGGGGCCAATCGAGACTCTAGGCCGTCCGTACGTGTTTACGTGTCATTGGATCGATCGATAAATACACTGCTCTCTAGTTTTTCCAGTCAAGGACACAACAATTAGCACAGGGTAGAAATCGACAGCAACCTAAAGCCAAAACACAGTCGTTGGCTAAATAAGGTTAGTTCGTGACGTAAACTATGAAATTCGGCAAACTTCACGAACACTTACACCGATAATATTCATCAAATTGTATTTCACATTCAGGGTATAAGAACATACAATAATACATACTTAACGTCTTGATTTGTTGTAATCCATTAAGTGTATGCATTTTTATTCCTTTCTTGAAAAAGTGTCCAGTTAACATTGCTACTTACAATGAACAATCTTTTCTATATTTGTATATATAACATTAGTATAAGAACATTGGAACAAAAGAAAAGTACTGTGTTACTAGACAAATCAACGAGAGCTCAACGAAGAAATTTTCTTTCTTGATATTGTTATTTACTAAAGTCGTACCATTTTTAGTCTTAGTTACTTTTACACATAGTAGTCTATATAGCAAAATAGGAAAATGGTGGGTCAGTAACAAAAATACCAAAAGTGAATCAGAAAAATTTCAATTCAAGCAATAGTCAAACAGTTATAAGAATGAAAAAAAACATATAGAAAAGATAGCTATGAAAATTTGGCAAACAAAAAAGGGAAAAAGAAGAGATGAACATGTGTTAACAAAGTTTACTTTTTAAGTTCAAAGTGGTACTATAGTGTCTGGTACTATTGTGGTGTGGGTTACTTATATCCACATAAGCAGTATAGAACGGTGGTCAGGCATAGAATGTATTTCAGTAGGTCGATAAGGAAAGGACGGGAACGGGACGCAATCGGTATGAAAATGCATGAACAATGAAATCTGAGGCAATGGACTGATATTTACAAAAGGAAACAGTCAAGTTTGAGACGATGGATTGATATTTTGCAAAGCAACTATTTACTATATGGTTCTCAGAGTTTAGTGAGATGTTCTATAATTTTAAGCTCAAATGCATTCGATCGTCCTCACTCGTGTTCTTGTTCACTACGCTATGTCAAGCTCACATGTGTTATTCTAGCCTCTGGACAGACCAATTTATCCGTTCTTTTTGAGCCACATTTTGACCTTGTTAATTAGTCGCTTATTAACCCTGTCTGTTTTCATATGATAGTATATGTTAATTATTCACTTTATCGATTACGTTACTTACTTACTTGTTTACGCCTGTTACACCTCATGGAGGAGCATAGGTCACTCACCAGCATTCTCCACCCAACGTTGTCCTGGGCAATCCCTTCCAGTTGATATTCATCCTTTTCATGTCTGCTTCCAATTTTCGACGCAGTGTGTTCTTTGACCTTCCTCTTTTCCGTTTCCCTTCAGGATTCCAGGTTAGTGCTTGCCTCGTGATGCAGCTTAATGATTCCGTCAATGTGTATCCTATCCACTTCCAACATGTTTTCTTAATTTCCTCTTCAGTTGGATGTTGGTTTGTTCTTTCCCACAGTAGGCTGTTATTATTCATTACGTATCTTTAACTTATTTTAGTCTGAAAATAAATGAGTCACGCTTGATCAAATCGTGTTGGCTCACCCGCCTTCTCCGCTTCCTATTATGAATGTCTGTCTGAATAACGAATGCTTAAAATTAATCCCGTCAACGTAACTCGTATTTGGCTTCTTATTGCCGGTGTTACACACATGGAGTTAGCCTAGGTAGTATTTTAGTGACCCTGTTATCTGACTTCAATTATATCATTTGCTGATTGCTATCGGAATATACATGTCGCCAATCTTCACATATAAATAATGACTTACTCGTGTTAGTGAATAAAGGAATTAAATAAGTCAAATACGAGAATGGGTTTTTGAATACGTTTATTTCGTACAATGCTTGATCAGAAAGCGAAGCAAAACGAACTAACACACGGTGGAGACGGTGAGTGATCCAACTCCCTTTAATTATGCGTTACTCAATATTTATAGCTAGACAAAAATAAGTTACGGACATGTGATGAGTAAGATAAGAAATGCACATATGTTTATATAAAAAAAATCAAGTTGACAAGCGAATAATTAACAAGGTTAAAATATGACTCAAGAAGAATGAATAAATTGGCCTGTCTAGAAGCTAGAATAAGCTATGCGAGCTTGACTAGCAAACGACACTACAGAACACGGAGATAAATGAAAGATTTATATTCATGGCATATTCATACGTTCATCCAAATCTGAGTCAGATCAGCTGATCACAAAAGTACATCCAAGTCCCTAATTCATTATGGCACTAACATTATCATCTCAACTTATTTTGTAAGTTATTTTTTGGAACATACTCATTCTTTTATTTATCTTTCTTACATTGATCAAGTAGAGAACTACCTTTTATATATAAATATATATCAATGAAAACCTGGAAGCACTGGATAGCCGTTTCATTCCAGCCAGGTGCATGTCTTCACAAAATTCAAACCAGACAGAATTAATCAAAACAAAATTCAGAAATTACTTCTGCATACAAAAGGATCTCTGTATATCGTAAACTGACAGAAATACTGAATATCCTTTGAGCTGTTTTAGATTAATAAAACTTAAAAATACACATAGAAACGGTGAAAAACCAACAGTAAATAAGTGAAAACCTACTGCAATCAAATCTTCTGGAACAGCTTTCATTTGAGTCCAGGAAGAGAAAAATTTTGAAAAAACACAATCGAATATATCTTCAAATGATGATAAATTACTTTGATAATGATTAGTATTATTATTTGATTTATTAAGTAAAATTGGATATAACGGCGATGAAAGATAAAAATCCTTATCATCTTGTTCTATGATAATATTTGGTTCATGACTTGTATCTAACAAAGAAAATGGAGTATAATTAGGTAAGATAGATTAAATAAATTGGTTTAATTTAAAAATAATTTTCTATTCTAGATCGGGAATACTTTACAAAATCATAATGAACAATATAAAATCATAATAAAGATGCTTTTTAATCCAGTTTGAAACTTGCAATAATGTACACTACTTTAAGAAATAATCACATGATCTTACAACATAATGGATCATTTTCTCTAAAGTATAATTATCATCATCTGGTATCACCAACAAGTATCAATCTTCATTAAAAATTTAAAAGAAGATTTATTCTGAAACTGGTCATTAGTGAATAGTGATCTGTTCAATAAGAGGAGGTTGATAAATAAAGAGACAATTTTTTTAAAGCTTCTTCATTTCCCCTTTAGATCTCTGAATGATATTTTATTCACAATGAATTGTAGTATTCATTCAGTGGAGTTAATACAACTGTATCACGATGATACTTTCGCAGTTATATCACTGGAAATTCAAACTTTGGGTTGTGAATGTGCGAACTTCTAACTTTGTTTTCGGTAACTATTTTGGAGTTCATATATGATACCACTAACATTTAATGGTATCTGAATGGTTAGTTCTGCTTTAATCGTTGCTATTTTTTATCATACTTCCCAAGATCAGAGTGGTTAGTATACAAACACAACTGTCCTACTATAATTCTAACTTCTTTAAAAACCAAAATTTACCTGAGTTTCTGTTTTCTTTCTTTCATACTTGGAGTGTCATCTATCTATTTAATTCAAGTAGATCCTATTTCGCATTAGGAGAATCTTGTAATCTTTTGCGATTTGGAGTTACTTTAAACTAATTTTTAAACAGAACAGCTTTCCTTATAGTTAACTTATACACAAAGAAAAATGTCACAGAAAGTCAAGTGATTGCACACGAAGCTTTACATTTGCTCATTGGTTTATATTTACAGTTTATCAACATCAAGCATAGATAAACTACCAAAAAACGAAGTACGCATATTTTCCTCTTTCATTACTACTGTTTACTTACCATTAGTTGAAAGCAATTCACACAGCATACTTGTCACAGCATTAGCAGCTTCAATAATTGGAAATAATGGCTTCTTATCAATCAATGATGAAACTGTCGAAGAAGATGATGAAATGGAATAATTACATGAAAAACTACTATGACTATAATACTCTTTCATTGGTTTAAATGATTGTGATAAATTAGACGTTGCTATTAATGAATCCAATGTAAATCGTCGTCCAATAAAATTATTACGTTGATTTTGTATACTATCATCATGTAAATGAGTAGTATGTAATATATTTTGAATAGAATTTGAATCAACAGTGGAAAAATGACGTTGAACACGTTGTGACGACTTACTACTCATTTCATTCACATTAATATTATCATTATTGCTATTCACATTCAAAGAAGATAATATATTGAGTTCTGATAAATGATACAATTTACAATGATTATTAGTGGTGTTATTGGTTTGATAGGAATTTTTTTGACATGGGTAAGCATAATTAAGCATATCAATAACCTTATTTCTATTTTTCATTATATAATTATAAATACATTGAAATCCAAGTGTACCTGGTGGTTTTTCAAAATCAGCATATGGATCAGTTGGTATCTAAAATAGTTCAAGTCAATAAAATAATATTAATAGCAAGTAGAGATGAGGCGTTCTACATAAACTAAATCTGTAATAAAAGTAATTACTAGTACTATAGTTATTATTATCATACGTAAATGTAGATGGGTGAAGGGTTGCGCAAGATCATTAACCGATTGAAGTTAGACGTTAACACCTTTGGATACCGGTACAGTGGTCTAGGGGTTACGCGTTCGCGCGCGAGACCGAAGGTCCTGACTTCGAGTGCTGTGTGGGATCATGGATGTGCACTACTGAGGAGTCCCATAGTAGGACGAAACGGCTGTCTAGTGACCCCAGGTTTATAATGATGGTCTAGCTTAGACTGACTCGCGAATTCATCTGTTTAAATATGTAAATGCATTAGAATGTTGATTATTGAGTAGTTAATACTATTGATATTGATTATCGAACATCGAGGGAATGCACAAATGCAAGCTCTCAAAACTACAATTTCAGATCTTAAATAAAGAAAACGGTTTTGTACCTTTATTTATTTTATCGTTCTCTTGTTATTTTCAGTGAATTTTCACTATTCTCATTAAGGAATGTATTTATGCTTATAATTTTAACACAGGGATACATTTAAGATTGTAAATGAATTCGCTGAAAAAGAAACCTTTTGATTGAGCAGATATTTGTTATTTTTATGTCACAATAAGTGAGTTACCTGAAGTTAAAAATGTGGACAGTCGGATGTTAATACTAACTCAATCTGACATAAATGTTAGTAAGGATTAGTCAGTTAATGAGGTTGTGTGTGTACATTGCTAAGATGTTTTGAGCTGAAAACGAATGACCTACTCAGTAACTCACAGAGTTTTCAATGTATCACTAGTTGAAGCCGATCTGTGGTAGAAACTACCTTAAAATTCAATTATTCAGGCAAAAGTTATAATCTTTTGATATGTTTTAATGAAACGATGCTAAGTACTTACTGGAGCCTTAACAATTCACAATTCAATAATACAAAAAATCAGGTTTCTATTGCCGAAAACCTATCATTTTGATGTTTGGTAGTGAAAGTAAGTGTAAGTAGTTACTGAGTGTGAATAAACAGACACTCAGATTAATGTCTATTAATTATGTAATTGATTTTCCCCTTATTAGTTTCTGCTCCGAACTCACTGAGAATAGCCTCTTGTAATTATGTGGCATAACTTATTCTCTAGCTTTCATCTGGTTCTCTAATTTTAGCCGTAAATCGGGTATTTGATATAACGTGATCTGGTCTGTATGTTGTGGATCGTTCGAGTACCCAATTTAGTGGTTTTATAAAGCCGGTCATCTGGTCCACTCTTATTACCATATTATTGTATTAGCATAGTATAGCACCGAGAGGAAAATATTTTGATTCATCTTTTATATCACGTTCCAAGGAAAGAAAATCACAGAAATGAATTAGACGATATAGGGATAAGTAGAACATACTTATTAACATGAGTAGTGATATTCGTAATCATATCAACGACGAATAAATCCATTGACGTAAATTTACAAATCCATTACCTTAATCTGCTCTTCATGGGTCTAGACTACCATATATATAGTAGTGTACTTCCATCATACCTCTTTAGTCTTTTATAACTTTTTGATAAAAGTATACGACAGATTTTGACAAAAGTTATTTTTGCCTTTCAACTTAAATCAGCTACTTATAAAGTTAAAGTTTGCAATGTATCATATAAATTCTTTCCTATAGAATAATGTTACTAACTTATATAAAAAGCATGTTTATGCATAGGACTTTGCTGTACACTGTTTTGATACGTTTAGTACTTTGAATGCTTCAGCAAGTGAATTCCTAGCTGCTTCAAGTCCTTAGAAACTTTTGACTAGTCAATGTTGAACTGATATGTGACTGGTAAAAGTAAGATGTGATTAGCCACTGAGCATGAATAAATAGGCACTCAGCTTACTAATTATTTACTATGGAATTTTCTTTTTGCTATTAATCTCTACATTTATACTCACTGAGGGTAGATTACCCGTAATTGTATTGAGTAGAGCATTGTCTAGCCCATATAGATAAACATATATACTATACTTTTGGTCCTAAATCGTGTATCTGGTATAACGTGATCCAGTAATCTGTATACAGTGTCAACTGAGTATTCAGCCTCGAGGAGAAAGGTGTAATAACGGTCACATATTGTATTATCGTAAAATAGTAGTATACTGTGGCAACGTATTCCGCCGTTATATCACGAACAGAACAGGAATGATGGAAGACATAAAAGTTGTGCTTCAAAGTTTATCTCCTGTACATAAAAAATAATTTATTAAATTATAAGGAACTTTAGGATCCTAGAAACTTAAGGAAAAGATGTGAAAATCAGTAACGAACTTGGTTTGAACACAAAAAAGAAACCATAACAAGGCTTTTTCTAGATTTTTTAAAGAGACTACAAAAATGGTCTGGTTTTGTAGTACTTTTTTAGTACTCCTTCTGACTTCTGAAGAATGGTTTTAGGAAATTCTCAAAGGTACTTAATAATTGTTTGTGCTATGGCTATTCGCAATTTCATACGGGATTCGGATGCTCAATGCTCCGAAGTGCAAGCTACTAGTTATAAGCCAAGTGTTTTCCCCACCATAGAATTCCACTAAGATCAGAGCCCAATGATATAAGTTATAAAAACAATCACCATACCTTGAAACCTAGTTTAATACACGCTTCTTCAATACATTGTTCAGTTGGATTAATTGTATACTTATCAAAATACACTGCTGAACATAGTTGTTTCATTTTTTCAACGGTTTCTTCGGACTATAAATATTAAAGAAAGATAATAATAGTAATAAAAATTACAGTGAAATATCATAACTGACAAACAAAATTTGTTATTACTAACTCAATTATCAGATACAGACTCGTTTACTCAACTTTAAGCCACTCTTTGAGTATGAGGGGTCATACTGAATCGGGTGGAGAGAGGTTTGAACTTGGGATCTCGAGGTTGGAAATTGAACGCCTCAATCACTGTGTCAGCGCTACACTACAGACAAAAAGATAAAAAGTGACTGTGAGTTAGACAGTCAACATTTGAGGCCTTCACCTAATTAGTGTTGTAGGATTTTTCTACAAAAGATTTTGAAACCTACTGAGTATCAATTCGATCTTTCAGAATTACGAAAACCGAAATAAATAAACATTTATAATACTTAGAGTTATGTACAATTCACACTTGATTGCTAGAATATTTGTCAGCAGTTTATTGGATGGTAGTATTAATTCGTAAAGTCATGGGTTGTTAATCTGAGTAGTGGTCGTAGGTGCAGACTACGTTGAATGGATAAGATCAATCACTACCATCGGTCGATGCGGATGTTAGATGATAGGGGGGCAGTTGGGTTAAATCTTAGCTCAAGAAATCTTTCCAATTATTTTTTCAAACTCACTAGTTTCTATCTTAGAGTATTTCTTATGTTTAGATTTCTATAGGTTTTCATGTTATGGTTTCTCGCCTTGTTGATTACCCTTCCCAGTCTGTCAAAATTTGAACTGTTACATATTCATCCAGTGTGTTATGGTGACTGAACAGATGGGTCAAAAATTTGAAATAATTTTTATTACGATATAATTTGTAAACGGCAGTGGGATCCAGGATGTGAGTTCCGTCCTATCTTGAACTAGCTAGACAGGTGCATCTGTTCCGCATTGTAGCTAACCACACAAAATTACTGAGCCCATATATTAGTTAAATGGATATTAAATTATTCGGCTATGTTTGTAATTTCCCATCGTTGATATTTCAGACTCCTATAAACTGGTCTCTATCGAAGTTATTGGAACCTGAGCGGATTATCTAGAGATCATATTTTAACCACAAGTATTTATTATACCGGATCCCATTGTCAATCACAATTCAACTATACTCAATAAATTATAATTAAACACCGTTCAGAAATCATACAAGTCAACAATAACTTATCTCGTGTGATATTAAATGTCTGCTATCAGTCAGTCATCTGGAACATAGGAACAGGCACATATATGCATCGGTACAAGTTGCTATACCTCATCAGCACAACAATATGAACACCAAGTTCATAGAAGCAGTTACTTCAGTAGTAATAAAAAAAGATTTCGTATAAGGGTATGATACAGGGAGAAAGAATTAGTTCGTAGAAAGAAAGATATGACGTGATTTTAATCTCATGGTTTAAGGGAAGATAGAGAGCGTATACACCTATGCCATTGTGATCGATTCTGAGCCATATCACCCACAGTCTCCAGCCACTGTTTACGATGGTCGCGCGGACCCCAACCAGGTAGTCTCCATCTACCAACATGGCTAAGACCAGAAGTTAGTGACTTTATGAACTGATGCTACGTTTTGATTTAGCCACCCCTAACTTTCTCCCATCTGTCTCCAACACTAGTCAGCATTGTGCACCATGGTAGTCGGTGGTTGGGTATGTGTAATACGTGGCCCAACCATCTCAGTCGATGTAGATTCACAACCTGATCAACTGATTTACCATCATTCCCTCACATCCTGCGTCTAACCTCACTATCACTTACCCAATGATCCCAGCAGATGCGTGCAATATTTCTAAGACATCTATGATCAAATACCGTTAACTTACGAATATTAGCTATGAAAAGAATGAAAAGCGCATCATAATTAGGATATTTAATACAACTGAACTTACTGTACGAGCCAATGGCGTTTTCATTCTGGTTAATAATAAACTATTAATTAGTTGTTGTACTCGACATACTGAAATTAGTAATTGGATACTGGATTGTTTAATGTTATAACCATTATTAGTAGTATTAGTAGTACTGCTATTATTACTCAATCGGTGTGATAATATACGTTGATGTGGTTCTTGTTCAACATTATCAATACTGGGACTGTAAATATTCATATTATTATTGTCATTATTACTCTGGAAGCATTCTGTTTTACATAATGCATCATTTTCAAGAAAATTTGAAAAATCTTTTAAAAAATTTAACACCACAGTATTTTCAGAATTATCATCAGATGATGGTAAACATGAGCTAAATGTTTCCATCATTGAATAATCAAAATGATATTTCTTTCGATAATATGAATTGATTATTAATTCCCAAAGTGAACGATCGCGTAATTCTGGAATCCACTTTAAATTAAATAAAAATATAAGATGGAGTAACGGATAGGAAAGGAAGTTGAAATAAAGTAAAACCAAAATTGAATAAAGGGGATTAAGTGATAAGTTGAGTAAAAACTTTATAAAGCGAACGACGAAAAAATACAAATTCATCCGGTAACTTAATTATTAAAAATCAATTAATTCAATATTTGATTGCGATAAAGAATTCTCAACAAGAAATAACATTTACTTCACATTGACTATATGTCCAATTCATAATTTCCAAATGTAAACTTCTCTCACATTTCTTCGAATCACATAAGGAAAGAATAAAGTATCAGCACCACTTTGATACTATAACAGTTGGAATTTTATTATATTTAACTTTACAAAACGTTGCACACATGAAACATTGAGAAAGAATAACAATTTAGGAAACTTCAACAAAATAAAATTCAATAATATCACTACATTTTCAATAATTATTTGCAACTCCAAATGAAATCAAATAAAGAATAATCCATGTCTTGGGGAGGAAAGATGAAAATTCATCCATTAGGTTGGAATTTGATGATAAATAATTACCAACCTCAGTTAAATTCTGATACAGTACAATGTATATCTGATGTTGCCAGTGTTAAAATGTAAAAATCCAGCATTATTTGAATTTATAGGTTACAGTTTCCTAACATAATCATCTGGTTATGTGGTTAACAGAGTTTTCTATAGTTTTACACTAGCTCTTGTCAAAAAGCCAACATCAAGGGATGAAATACCATGAATAAGGAAGTATTGAACATAGACCCCACTAATAATAACTATCTTCTACAGTAGATATAATACGAAATAAGTTTCAGATACTATGAAATTCTTATGACAATGATTAAGGTACTGGGGGTATCCGGATCGTCTAAGATACTTGCAAATTAAGGAGCGAATGAAGTATTTTGAAACATACAGTTTTATTGAGGACTCTATAACGGCACATAACACTCCAACTACTATCCACAAACAAATTAAGAAAAAAACTTGACACTCAACCAGAACAATTTAAAATGGTGCAACTTAATGTATATACTTACGAAGGCATGACCTAAATTAGCGAAACAAAAACAATACCGGTCAATCAGAAAACGGCATAGGTTATGCGAAGAACCGGATTATAAAAAAAGCGCTCGCGGTCAGTGTTTTTAGTATTACTCCAATATCATTAAAAATACTAAGTGGTTCCATCAACTTAGTGCACACTAATCACTTTCTTACTGAAAAGATTAGTGTTTTGCCATTGGTTTCGCTTCTTAATTATATGTCATATTAGTTCTTTTAATAATTTTACCAATTACATCACGACATACTTTACCTCAGTCTGCAGTTTTGTGATTTTAGCCTCTGTTATGACTGATCGCATTAGATTTTTTAGAATGACCTACATTAGAATCATCTGAATAATTATGTGATGAATAAGTAAGAACTTCTGGGATTGACGGTATTGTATGAATGTTGCGTGATATGAGAGAAATAAATTCCTGAGGTATGAATTTGTATTTTGATGTACCCTTATCTCTTTTACGATTAGACTAATCGAAAACGTATTTCTAACCATTCAATAGAAAGCCCATTTTATGATGAATAATAACCGTCAACTTCAATGGAGTACCATCTTACAAATCTTGTCACTCCCGTCATGTCATTTCACGTATCTATTTCAAGCTGAGAGGGGGAGAACATTTTTCGCGAGATATCTGTTGGCGTTGAACTTCCAACAGAAGGAGTGTTTTCCAAACAATAAACAGTTTATAGAAATCAAACTTCCTGTCATTTCATTATCTACTATAGGCACCAGCAAGAGAATGACTTTTATTATTAAATACGTGTGTAGAACGAAACGATATTGGCAGCTGCCAAAAACGTCTTTATCAACATGGCTATTTTTCTCCAAATATCCTGTATATAATAAATTAGGTAAGCTATTGATTGTGGATGTCTGGTCGTTCGTTCATTTTCGTCTGGGGGATGGTCGATGGTTAGCATTATTAACTTGACATTTATTGTAACATAATGGTACCCGGGGGCTTGAAATGTGTTCAGAAAATTATTATGTACCACAGTGAACATTCATCACATGACAATTCACATAATTTTGTAAAATATTGAGACGCATATAAAATTTTACATTTTAGCAAATAAATTAAATTCGAGATAGTGGTTAAACAGTTCAATACTCCCACGAAATGAATGTACTTTTTCATTTACAATCACTAAGACTAATAATAATAATAATAATAATAATTATTATTATTATTATTATTATTATTATTATTGTTATTATTATAACTATGTGATAACATTGATGATAAAATATACATGTAAAATTATGAACCAACATTCATGATGTACGTCGTAATCGTTCAAGAATTACCCTCTTTTACGAATTCCGTTTCATCTATAGTATAAAATAGATTAAGTCAACCTTCAGGATTTAGGTCTAAGTCAGTATTAATGTGTTTTAGGAACTAATGCTACTACAAACCTACCTAACAACTTATATAAAGTAGACCGTTATCAATTTTGCATAACATAATTGATCATAACGAGTAGTGCATGACAGAATAAAACCAATTAAATTTATTGATTTTGTCATTAGAACAAACCTACTTCTCATAAAAAATTTGAATCTCGTATCAGTAACAGTATCCACTCAAAAGTGTCGATAACATAGTATGAAACAGGGAAAATATCAAACTGTGTGTTCTATCTAAATAAGAATAGTATACTTAATGTTTTGGATTCATTTCACGATAATTTTGTCAGTTGCCGTAATGTCGTTATCATTGCGATCGAAATTATATACACAAAAAATGAAACATTCAAACTACTTACTACAAATTGAAATACTTTTATTAAGCCACTACACAATAACTATTAAATAAGTATTCTAGAGGCGGTCGGAAAGAAAATTGAACACTGATATCAGAATGGGTTTTGTGGAGATTTTTAGAAATTTCACTTGATGAAATCATGAGTCAATTGAAGCTAGACCACCATGGAAAACCTGGAAGCGCTGGACGGCCGCACTCCTAAGGAGTCCCATACTAGGACGAAACGGCCGTCCAGTGCTTCAATTGACTCATGATTTCAACAAGTAAACACTGATATGCCCAATGCTGAGGTCAGGGATGACTAAGATGAAATATTTCTAGTTTCTATGCATTTATATAAAGTCACATTGATATGATGGAAAGAAAAGTCAATTTTCGATTGATTTACTCATTATGAGTTTTGTTCAAGATTACTTCCGTTTTGATTCAATGTAATGATTACTCAATGTACTATTTGCTTACTTTTATCGTATGATACTTTAATCTGTATAATATACGATATTCTTGTATTCCATTGACATGAACTATACACAGTAAGTGATTTGTTATAACTCTAAGTATTTTTTCATATATGTGATTTCATCCTCATTATTAATCAAAATGGATGTACAATCAATATATAAATGAGTGTGTTATCTACTACAGTTTTCATCGTCGTCGACATAGTGTTTTGGGGTTAACAAATCACTTATATCAGTCTTTGTGTTCTTATTTTCGCGAATAGCAGAGGTCCCTCGTTTCCGACATAACAACCAGCGATGACCAGATACAAAAAGTAGCATTAAAATAGCCAAGACAAGTAGTCAAAAGACAAATTATAACACACACTAATCAGTATAAAACAATTTTCAAATTCAATTCGAAATATAGTTATTATCTTCCTTCCATTTTATATCTGACCAATAAATGTCAAACAGTTCAATTCAAATAAGAATTGTCACACAGCTCCACCACTTAATAAACACACACAAGGTCAATGGCTCTTAAATGTCTAACTAACTAACTAACTTCAATATCACTTGCACAAATATACACACATTAATAGATTGTTCACAAACAATAAATCAGATATTATCCTACATTTGTCACAAATATACGCAACATTAACCAAATTCATTCAACACACAAATCAATAGCTTAATAGAGATTCAACTTTTCGGTCCACTGAAACGAAGTTATCTAATCATGGGACGATTTTGTCGACAAATAAATTTAGATTCAACTAAATTCCCCATTGTGCTTCGGGCTACATCTAACACTATTCAATCACTTACTATTCCGAGTGTTGCTTCTTCCTATCACACACTTACTGACTACACAGAACACTATTGTTTATATTTAATAAAATAATAACTGATATAATACATACTATTCAAATTAATGTGTCAATTTCAATTAACTAGGATTAACAACAACAACAACAACAACAACAACCCATTGCATATAGTCACCATATTCGATTAACGAAAAGTGAAGTCACACTAAAAAAATAATCAAAAACAGTGATCAAGAAATAAGATACGTGTCCGAAAAGCGCTAGCGCATCCATTCCTCAATATTCAATATGTGTGCAATGACAACGATTTCCAGTCAATCTCCGTCCATTCACTCACTTCATCTTCCGTATAACACATTAGTATTCACTGATAATTTCATTTCAAACTATACATTTCACTTGATTTACCATTTCCATCACATAACTTGTGATGGTGATATATTCAGATTGAAAAGTCAATACAAGATAGCTTGAAATGATTCCAATCAGATTTCTAGGCAACACCCACAACCAATAAATTAACGAAAATAATGCTTACAAGTGATCAGTTTTCGGACTTTACTGAACACACTGATGAACACCACTATTAATCAGTCTTCCACCATATTCAAATGGCTTTTCGAAAATTCATCAATCACTTCAATAAAACGAAAGAAATCGAGAACGATTGGTAATCATTCGAACTATTTACGAAAATCCGCTGTTATATAAAACAAAACAAACATCATTTATTAACTAAGTAGTCAGTTTTAAAAATACGAAAATAATCAATTATGCTTAATATGCAGTAGTGGTGAACTATAAGGAGACTTAATGAGCAAACCCGAATTCTATAGGTTAATGAATGACTTATCAAGCTCATATTTAACACCCATCTATGTCTCAAACGAGTTGAAGTTAGTGGCTATCTGAACTTGTATTTTAATGGGCAATGTGTTTGTATCTGAGGTGAAAGTTACTGGGTACGACTATATTAACAAAGGATTATCGGGAAGAAAAACGGATGTAACAAAGCATACTCGCACTAATACATATGTAAACAGAAGGTAACGTTTGAACAAATTCAAAATAATGAACATATTTCACCTAGGTATATTTCTAATACAAACATTAATGAAAAATATGAAACTATAAATGAATTCAATAGTTAGATAAACCAAAGAGTAAAAGCAAAGACAAATATTAAAAACTCACTTCAGTAAATTGTATATTTTCAAAAAACTGATGTATTAAGCATATCAAATGACCTTGTTGTTTCCCATAATAAAATATAACATACAAAAATTGCATAATAAGATTTTGTATTTCACATCGTAATGTTTCCAAACGGATTGAATTATAATTCACAGTAGATTTATAACCAACAATGTTTGATTGAATTCTACAAAACGTACGTATACAAATTTGCGATCTTGAATTTTTAAAATTTCTAACTTAGCTATTTAGTTATTAATAGCTTTAAAAAAGGACAGTTATTTACTTCAGACAATGAATGAAGGGTTGCATAAGATCATGGATTTATTGATGTTAGACATTAACACTGTTGGATGTTGACTCAACGGTCTAGAGTTCAAGCGTTCGTGTACGAGGCCGAAGGTCCTAGGTTCAAATCCCGCATGGGTGATCGATGGTGCGCACTGCTTAGAAGTCCCACACTAGGGTGAAACGGCAGTTTCTTATGATAGTCTAACTTAGGTCGACTCATGAACTCAACTATTAAATTACTACAATCTCCACAAACCCCCATTCTGAAAATATGATTAGCTTAATAATACCGCCATATACCTATAAGAAAGAATTAAATTCGATCCAACATAAGAGTATAAACTAAAATTACTGACAAGTTTGCCGTTGGAATGGAGGAGAAACAACTGTCTGATATTCAGAAATTCCTAATGTTTCTGTGGTGTGTGCTACTTATTCTGACAGATATAAGTAGCATGTCACACTAATCAAAAGTCGAATGCCTATCAGTATAAGATTGAGAAAATTGAATTAAAGAGAACAGGAAGTGAAATAGAGAGTAACTGGAATAAGAACAGAATTATACGAATCATGAAATATATAAGGGACAATTGAAAGAAGATGTGTAATTTAATGCATGGTTTTCATATTTTATAAAGACACTCATTCTGCATTAAATAATAATTTAGTTTTCCCCCATCTAAGTTCTCATTCACTACAGTTTCTCTACAAGGTTTATGTCAGTGTTCAGTGTGAAGTTGGATTTTTATATACTTAAAAATGTACTGAAATAACCTGACTGTAATCAAAATAAACTATTTTTCTTAAATTTGATCATAGTAACAACATTTAAAACTTACATTTTTAATAAATCCAATACAAATCCTTGTTCTGTTTGTTTAGTAACATATTGAATATGTACAGGACTAAATAGTAAAATATTAATTTGAATAAATGGAAGAAAAGAAAAAAACTTATTGCATAATATTTAGAAAAAAATAGAAATTATTATCAAAAAGGGCTTGTGAAGATTTTAGAAATTTCATAGACTAAAATCACGAGTCAATTGAAGCTAGATCACTATGGAAAACCTGGAAGAACTGGACGGGCCGTTTCGTCCTAGTATGGGACTCCAGTGTGCATCCACGAGCCCACACCCCGCGAGACTCGAACCCAGTACCTATCAGTCTCGCGCCAAGCGCTTAACCAACTAGACCACCGAGCCCGCATCCAATGGTGTTAATGTCAAACTTCAACCATCCACGAGGTTGAGCAACCGTGT